GTAACCCGTACATAAAGCATATAGTGGATATATATATATATATATACTGAGGCTGTGTCCTCATACTAACTCCTATAGAGAGCATATAGAGGATACATATACTGAGGCGATGTCCTCACAGTAACTCTTTCATAGAGCATATAATGGATATATATATATATATATATATATATATTATATATATATGCCGTGTCCTCATAGTAACTTATACCAAGAGCATATAGTGGGTACATATACTGAGCCTGTGTCCTCATAGTAACCTATACAGAGAGCATATAGTGGATATATATATTACTGAGGCCGTGTCCTCATAGTAACCTGTACATAAAGCATATAGTGGATATATATATACTGAGGCTGTGTCCTCATAGTAACTCATACATAGAGCATATACTGGACACACACTGAGACTTCATACCAATTCATACATCAGAGCATATAGTGGAAACATACCGATGCTGTATCACCACCAGTTTATGTACAGATACTGAGGCCCAGTGGTCTCCTGTGCAGTATATTCTTCCACTGTCTGCAAAAGCCTGCTTATTTGTGATAATGCACAGATAACAGCAATCAATGCCACATACCTTGATAGAAACGTGTGTGTGTGTGTGTGTGTGTGTACACACACACACACACACTTAGAGTTAGGTATTTAAAACCTGTCATATACATGTGTGTACTTCAATCAGACACCCAAGAAAGTTCTCTTATCTTGGATATTTCTCTGTCTTCAGGCTGTGGAATTCCAGCAGACTTGATACAGCCAGGATATCCATTATTAGCACTCTTTTTCACCATGTCTCATTGCATTATCAGCACTCCTTTGCACAATGCCTCCTTGCATTATCAGCACTACTTTGCCCAATGCATACTTGTATTATCAGCACTTTTTTGCACCAAACATCCTTGTATAAACTTACCTAAATGCTCACCACACAAATCTCCTAAATGTGACCTATTTGTTAGAAGGAAGCCTAATGTAAGCAGCTGGGAGGGACTGAAAGAACAGAGACCCAGGTGCCTATACTAGTTTTAATCTAAATTACTAATGCACTTACCTGAACCGTTGCAGGCCTGTGTTTCAGTGGCAAAATGGAGATTTGAACAACTGACAGCCTAAACTGTTTAAACTATAGGCTTCCATCTGTACCCTATATGCCGTTCATCATCACCATACAAGGTGGAATACATAGAATAGGTATACCCCGGTAGTCACAACTCTGTTGGGCCTCATGTATGCAGTGTACCGCTGTCATCCCCTCAGGGAGAGAGATTGGTTAGACTCCTGATTGCTGAAGGAGGTACCCAGTCTGGCAACTCTTACACATGTGCTGTTTGCTGGGTCTTCAGGGATAAGGGCTTAGACTCAACTGGGCCTCATGTATGCAGTGGACTACTTTCATCACTTCCGAGAGAGATAGGACAGACCCCTGGTTGCTGAAGTAGGAGCCCAGGCTGGCAACCGGTATGCTGTTTGATGGGTCTTCAGGGATAAGAGGCTGAACCATGGCCTGGCTAGATGTAGGCAGTATATCACATACATCCCCTGAAGGGGTACCCAAGCTGGCCTGTTGATGGGTCTTCAGGGATAAGAGGCTGAACCCTGGCATGCAGTGGACCATTTTCATCCCTTTCAGGCAGAGGTTGGGTCCGACCCCCGGTCACTAAAGGGGGTGCCCAGGCTAGTCACTTCATCTTAGTGCATTTTGCTGGGTCTTCAGGGCTTAGAGGCTGAACCTTGGCAGGGCCTAAAAAAAATATTGCCTGGTGAGCATAAAAGAAAAAAATCTAGGCCTGCATAAGCAGACTCCTTCCAAACTGCTGTGAAGGACAGGAAAAAAAGTCTGCCTGATGGGAAGGGGGAGGATCTATTTATACCATTTTCAAAGTTCTATTTCCTGTCCTTTCTGCTGTAAGGGGAGGAGCTAACCCATGAGTAAACGCTACCATGAATAATGGTCAGGAAAAGTGTTTAATGGCTATTTTGTTTGTGTTTCTACACTAACATTTATTTTTAACATTGGTGTTCCTTTAGGATAACGCCAAAAAAATCTGTTAAATTTTTGTAACATTGCAATTCTCATGCAGATCTAGAATGCTCAAGTGCCTGTTAAGGTTCAGAATATTTTGAAAACTTGTCATGTCGAGAAACAATATTTCACAATAATTCATACTGTACTACATATTATACAAACAATATAATTAAACCATAGTTTTGTAAACAAGGAAAAAATTTAATAAGTTTTTTTTTTTTCTTTTTTAAGGTCAATTGCAAGATTGGCAGAGATCAGTGATGAGGCTCTGCGTGCTGCTTCTCAGAATACAGAGATCACTTTGGAGCACGAGAAGGAATGGAAGCTTGGCAAATGTATCCTGAGATTCCCAGAGATACTGCAGAAGATCTTGGATGACCTCCTTCTCCACACACTCTGTGACTACCTGTACGAACTGGCCACTACTTTCACCGAGTTCTATGATAACTGCTACTGTGTTGAAAAAGACAGACAAACTGGTAAGTTCTTTTGAACTTTTTGACGTTCACTTATATAAAATTTTCAGAAATAGCCAATAGGTTCCAAAAGTAGCTGGTAAGGTCAATTTTACTTTATGTAACACATCTAGGTAAGCTACTATGCATTTCACCTGGTCTCATCAAATAGTTTGCCTATGTATTATGGTAATTTTTTTTGTTTATTGCTTTTCTGTAATGGGGGAAACATTTATGGATTGCTTTTATTCAGTTTATATGTTGGACTACCAATTTAAAACAAAGACTTTTGTTTGGGCATACCCATGTAATGTATTCTAAGCATATTGGCTTGTTTCCTGACCGTTGTTTCGGAAAGTATCACCCCCAGTGTGCACACTTCAGTTTAGATGCTGATATCAGACCTGAAAGCTAAAACTCCAAAAGTAAATCTAAACCAGATACATTGTTAAGGCAAACCTAAAACCACAGCATGTCAAGTAAAAATAAACAAGCTTTTATTGGCAGTACACTAATCAAACTCCCTGATGGTAATTAAAATAGAATTATACTACTATACTACAACACTGTTCAACCTCTGCCACATTGAGATGTAAAAAGCACAATACACACAGTGATGGCACAAAGTAGAATCCAAATGCAGAACACAAAGAGCAGCCAGAGAGGATTTATCTCCTACCTACACAACTTATATGAGCAGTTGGGGGAGATCTTCTCTGCATCTGCTCCCCATTTTTTTTCAAGCCCTGATGCAAGTGGGAAATCCAGACTGAAATCAGTCAATTTTTTTAATGAGTTGTATAGATAATGCAACTAAATATATTTAAAGGGACACTATAGTCACCAGAACAACTACAGCGTATTGTATTTGATCTGGTGAGTAGAATCATTACCTTCAGGCCTTTTGCTGTAAACACTGTATTTTCCAAGAAAATGCAGTGTTTACATTACAGTCTAGTGATAACTTCACTGGCCACTCCTCAGAGGTGCTTCCTGTGGCAGTGCTGCACAGTGTGACTAACATTCAGTGCCTCCAGCTTCTGCATGGAGACACTGAACTTTCCTCATAGAAATGCATCTGTGCTGGCTCTGCCCCTGATCTGCCTCCTTGACAGTCTCAGCCAATCTATGTGGAAGCATTTTGATTGGCTCAGACCACCACTTCTGATGATTTCAGCAGACAAGAGACCGACCAAGCAGCTGCAGACCTGATGACAAGTAAGATTTTACTATAGATGGGGGGGGGGGGGTGTCAGGGTATCTATATGGTGGTTTTAACACAATAGAGTCAGGAATACAGGTTTGTGTTTTTGACCCAATAGTGTTCCTTTAAAAATATGGTTGTTTTTTCTTTTTTTGTAAAGTTTCATTGTTTTGTTTTCCAGGTCAGATAGTGAAAGTGAATATGGCCAGAATGCTTCTGTGTGATGCAACTGCTGCCATCATGGCGAAAGGATTTGACATACTTGGAATTAAACCTGTACAGAGGATGTAATATTTGTGCCATTTTACCCGTCCGTCATATGCAAGGAAACCATACAATGATCTACTTTTCTAAAGATTCAAACAAAATGAAAATAAAATTATTTGATCAAATCTGTTTCACGCTTTCATTTTACAGAGGCAAAAAAATTGTGTAGATCAATGTAGAAACTGCTCAGCATATTTATTTTTTCTCCATGCTTTTGGCAGTCCCATGTTTTCTGTTTGTGATGAGAGAAATCCATTTTCTTGTTGTAAATAACATACATAATGTATTTTTCTGCAGGTTGAAATGCCCCTTTAATACACTGCTTGACTGACTTCTTTAGGCACAGGTGGCCCATGCTTGTCCTCTATTGGCAGGTTGATAGTTAAAAACATGCTTTTACTTTAATTACATGAGCTAATTAACTGACATTTATAAGTTGTCTTAGAAAAGGAACATTGTTTTCTCATTATTTTACACTTCAAGACCATGGAAGGAAATGCTTGCCTTAAAAACTATTTTCTGAACAAACAATGATTGCAGGGGAAACTCACATGACATAATACCCCCGTTTCCACACTGAATTCTTTTACATAATTCTGAATGTTAAGATAGGAATCAAACTATGTCACCATTTGTCATAAGCTCATTTTAAAGTTGTAGAGGACACACAGCTCTTATCCTTGATGGGGGAGAGGAGTAGAATGAGTACTCAATACTGTCAATATGTTGTTTCATCATTGATTTAGTAAACTAGACCACCCAAGAGGTTTAAAGCAATGCAGTACTGAATTCTTGACTTTTTTTTTTTTTTTTATAATATTGCTACAGTAATGACATATTAACCATGAAAAACACAGGAAATGGCCGTGAGCATATAAAAATTACATTACAATAACCCGCTCAAACGGCTTATGTGCGGCAGTAAATAAACATTGTTTACCTATTTGGGACTGACCAGTTTACAATCAGTGAAATTGCAAACAACTCACTGTTAACATGAAAGCCATGTCTTTTGATGTGGTCAAGCTGGGTTGGATGGTTACTGCTGCAGACATACAGTAGTATGAGCCGGGTCCCCAAGGATGGAATAGCACACCCGTCTGCCGTCCTGAAGGGGTTAAACAGATAGTGTCAAGATCACAACAACTTTGTCTGTCACACAGATGGTATAGTAAGGTTTCTTAGTATATCATTATGCTTCAGACTGTTATGTAGGCTTTAAAGCTTTCTTGTAAGTAATAATGTTTCCTTGTATATGCAAATCTCGTTAAAACCCTGCATCTATGGATTATTGAACACTGGAAAACGAACTATATTACTATGTGGGCTTGGTGAAAATTAACAAACCCACCATGTAGAAGGTCTTAATCGAAAAGTAGAGAATATGGAAGGAAGATTAAAATACATTCATATGTTTTTTGCCATATTTATATATTTTCATATTCATATATTTGAGTTTGAGATATCTAACTTTTAATAAACAGAATAATAAAAATATTTTACTCTATATCTCCAATTGAGTGCGGTATGATATGTATTCATTGAATTAATCTAGGGTATTTAATATGGGCTACCTTGATACCCAGCACCATTAGGGATAAAAGAGTGCCTGTGCATATTGTATTTTTTACTTTACTTTCTTTGACCAAATGGAGGGGATTAAGTCAGCTCCATTTCCTGTGTCAGAGAAAGTCCTCGCCCTTCTCCTTGACACAGGAAATGGAGCAGACTTAAACTCCTCCTTTGGTCAAAGAAGGTCAAGCGTAGGAAAATTACATAAGATAAAGTAGTCCCTGCTTTGTCTTTGTTTTAAAGAACACTAGATTAGATATGAAAAGAAGAACAGATCCGGAGAGAGGAAGATAAGAGGAAACAATAGGAGAAAGGTAGGTTTGAATAAGATGAGTTTTACCCATCAACACTGTGCTACAGAGGATGGATGAAAAGCAGGAGACCCATACTGCCCCTATTCCAATACCCTCTGTGCGGTTGGGAACATTTACTCATCATGTAGGCCATGTGTGCATCGCTGTGATATTGCAGGAGGAGAAGCCTGACCCAGCACTGAGGGACTTTGGCGCTGGAATCAGGTAACCCTTTCTTGATTGAGGGGGATTATAGCATAGATGCTATAATGTTACTTTAAAACTGTTCAATGTTTATGTAGCCTCATCCTCCTAATATCTGGCTATTTCAAAAGGTTTGGGTTTTTTGGGGGGAAGGACTAAGATTTAAAAAGGCTAAAGGACCATAGTCAAACTTTTTATATTAAAACAATGAATAGTTGAATAAAACTACACCCAAGCTTTTCCACAAGTGGTGCCAGCAACAAGACACATTTAGAAGAGAAAGTCATCGGTACAGAGGTATTCATAACTTATTTTACACATCGCCTCTGGGGTTAAAGATACTGTGGTCTGTAACGCCTGTGGTCTGTTGTCATTAATGGTAAATTTTCAAGCTGGACAGAGGTGGCAAGTGGTGTCCCTCAGGGGTCTGTTCTGGGACCCCTTCTATTTAACATGTTTATAAATGATCTTGAAGACCGCATTGAAAGTCATGTTTCAGTGTTTGCAGATGACACAAAACTTTGTAAAACAATACAATGTGAGCAAGATATTACTTTGCTGCAGAGGGATTTAGATAGACTGGGGACTGGGCACTCAAATGGCAGATGAAATTTAATGTTGAAAAATGCAAAGTTATGCACTTCGGCGTAAAGAATACACAAGCAACGTATACCCTTAATGGAAGCGAATTAGGGATAACAACACATGAAAAGGACTTGGGAATTGTTATAGACAACAAACTATGCAACAATGTGCAATGTCAATCAGCAGTGGCCAAGGCCAGTAAGGTATTGTCATGCATGAAAAAGGGCATTCATTCTCGGGACAAGAATATAATTTTGCCTCTTTATAAATCACTGGTAAGACCCCATATTGAATATGCTGTGCAATTTTGGGCACCTGTTCTAAAGAAGGATATTATGGCACTAGAAAAAGTGCAGAGGCGGGCTACAAAATTAATAAAAGGAATGGAACATATCGGCTATGAAGAAAGGTTAACAAATTTAAACCTATTTAGTTTAGAAAAACGTCGCCTGAGAGGGGATATGATAACATTATACAAATATATTCGGGCCAATACAAACCATTGTGTGGAAATCTATTCACAAACCGGACTTTACATAGGACACGAGGCCATGCGTTTAGACTGGAAGAAAGAAGATTTCGTCTAAGGCAAAGGAAAGGTTTTTTTACTGTAAGAACAATCAGGATGTGGAATTCTCTGCCTGAAGAAGTGGTTTTATCAGAGTCCATACAGATGTTCAAACGGCTACTAGATGCATACTTGCAAGAACAGAATATTCAAGGATATAATCTTTCAATGTAGGGTAATAACTGCTTGATCCAAGGATAAATCTGACTGCCATTCTGGGGTCAAGAAGGAATTTTTTTCCTAGCTTGTTGCAAAATTGTGCTTCAAACTGGGTTTTTTTGCCTTCTTTTAGATCAACAGCAAAAAACAAATGTGAGGAAGGCTGAACTTGATGGACGCAAGTCTCTTTTCAACTATGTAACTATGTAACATCATTCTCAGCCAGGAAATTGTGTCTATAGGAACATGGGCTCACAAAATGCAATTGCATTATCAGTTTTCTTGATGGACACTAAATAAATCTCTAAAAACAAGCTTTGTTATACCTACCCACAGTGTGTAGTTGGATTGTGGTATTGTATGTGTGCAAAACATTTATCCATAATATTGTCATTGAACCACTTTCAATGTTACCAAACCCTATCCTAAAGACAAACCAACTGCCCAGGATGTAGGCAAGTCTTCAAGAATATATCAAATTTTGGGCAAGGAGATTCTTTTTAAAGGGACACTATAGTCACCAGAACAACTACATCTTATTGAATTTGTTCTGGTGAGTAGAATTATTACCTTCAGGCTTTTTTTCAGAGAAAATGCAGTGTTTACATTACAGCCTAGTGATAACTTCACTGGCCACTCCACAGATGGCTGTTAGAGATCCTTCCTGGGTCATGGCTGCCTAAAATGCATCCAAACATTCAGTGTCTCCTCCCTCTGCATGCAGACACTGAACCTTCCTCAGAGATTCACTGATTCAATTCATCTCTATGAGGAGATGCTGATTGGCCATGGTATAAGGATATGAAATAGTTAACTCTTTTTGCTTTATATGCTTTAAAATAATGTTTGAAATAATTATGCTGACCTTGACAGATGTATTCTGTAACATGCTTTGAGAGGCCTCCCTTCTACAGGATGTATGACCTCGCTCGACCTCAGGATGTTCCTGTCCCGTCTTTATTCAAATGCTTATCTTTTAATGTCAGACAAGTATGTACTATTAACTACAAGGAAACGATAACTCTCGCTGCTTGTGTGACAAACTGTGTATAAATGCTAGCCCTGAAAATATACTCACTGAGAACTTGTTAGAGCACTCTTGTTTCTGTGTCTTAATTTACTAAACAAGAACTCCCGTCAATTGATGTGGTGACCCGAGAATCGAGGGGAGTTGAGTCCAGAACAGCATTAACCCTTTCACATGGCTGTTTGAATCATGCTGGCTCTGCCCCTGATCTGCCTCTTTGTCAGTCTCAGCCAATCCTATGGAGAATCCCTGTGATTGGATCAGGCCACCACTTCTGATGATGTCAGCAGACAGCTTGTTTTTCTGAGGCAAACAGCATGCAGAGTTACAGCTTCAGGCTTGAATACAAGTAAGATTTTGCTATATTTATGAAGGCATGAGGGGCCCAGGGGAGCTAGATGTTGGTATTAACCCTACAGGGTCAAAAATACATGATAGTGTTCCTGACCCTATAGTGTTCCTTTAAGTCAAAATATTTGGTCTAAAATGTAAATTCACATTTTGTGATCACGGACATGCTTGAGTTTTCACTAATCTCTTGTAGTATGCAGAAAAAAACAAAAAACTTTTTGATTTTAGAGGAAGTACAGAGTATTGTATATAAAAAAAGTTAACATTTTAGGGAAAACTGAATTAGGAGGTTAACTAAGTTTTAGGAGTTTCAAAGAGCTCCACAGCAATTACTACAGTGAGTGTGCGCAACTAATCTGTGTTTAGAAACAAATTATTCGCAGTCTGCTATACCCATTTACTCTGGTTTAAAGAACTAGCCAAGCTCCAAAAATTATTCACATACAAATTCTTGCAGCAGTTGATCAGTCTCCGTTTTATAATTAAAAAAACAAAAACAAGTAGCAAATAATTCTTTTCAAAGTGCTGTACCATTTATTTGATGTACATTGTCTGTTACATTGCAGTGAGAATTTCCACCATATGTTGAAACTGTACAAGATTTTTATTGCAAAGCTACATAAAAATGATAAATATATGCATTTAGCTATTGGTGAGAAAATATATAATTAAACTAAGATTAACATTTTACAGTGCAAAATATACAATTTTAAAAAAATTTATATAAAAAAATATATATATGCCATTTTCTTTTTGTAACAATTATTCATACTAGTAAAATACAGAATTCACGCTAAAACAAACAAACACAAAAAACCCACATACAGCTAGCTAGTGCCACGCAGTCTTCATTAACTGTGCAGGCTGTATTATTAGGATGGCTTGAGTAAGAGAAACGAGGTTGGTCCAGCACCCCATGTACTCTGTTACATTCCTGTACTCGTAGCACGAAGTCCTAGAACAGTGATGGTCAATGTTGGTACCCCAAATGTTTTAGCTTTATTTCCTATGACACTCAGTCAGCATAAATGGCAATACAAATGTGGCTCACAAACACATGAGAATGCAAAATTAGCCATCACTTTTATTTTTTCTTGCTCTGCATTTAAAAACCAACTTCATATTCTAACAAATGTGAAGTGTGCATATTTTACAATGGGCATCTCATCGGTTCTGTTTACCCATGAAACTCTTCGTAGGACATGTCATTTGGCCATGAAAGCAGCCAGTGTGGAATTATAAGAGATGCTCTTTTAAACACTGATAAAACAGCTGTGTACATTGTAAAAGATGCACTTTATTTTAAATTAAAAAGTAATTTGCATAAATGCTGCACTGGCAGTTTTAGTTACTAAGAAAGGCAAATCTATTCTGAAATGCTCACACCCCCTTCAGGAATGCTGAAGGCATCACACCACCCTATTTCATACTTCTTTTAAATACTGGAAAGCAGTTTCAGGATTTCTTTATAAGTAAAGTAGATTGAACGTATACAACATGAAATTATTTACTTTCATATAAAAAATATATATATAAATATACGAACATGGGCTATTGTGAAAAACAAGAGTCTGGTTTTAATCGCTCTAAACTTTCATTTATACATTGGTTCTAGTCAGATATATTTAACTATATAGGTCTTTGGTTTCACGCTTCTGTACACAGCCGCCATCCTTAAGGAGACAGAAGCATACTTCACGTGCGGTGAGGTTTGCATCATCATAAAAGGGTATTTTGAACTTTGACGGTAGCCTTGTGATTATTATGTGGGTAATAGGTCCTCTTGAAATGAAGTTTACTTTTGCTTCTTACAGGGATAGCCTCTGCAGTGGATGCTGGGACATCGATCTGTTCCCAGCATGGTTACCCTATGTTGCACATGCTGGTAAGAGGCACTTCAAGGATGAAGCAACGGTCTCCATTAATCAGATTTAAAAAAAATAAATAAATAAAAAGGGGGGACTGGGGACTATGCAAAGCTCCAGTTTTAAGATGTTGGATTTCAACCTATTTTGTCTATGCATTAACTTCAAAACTGTATGCGGTGTCATTTATTTAATCAGGCTGTTGCATATTTTTTTCCACTCACGTTAAGCTATCATATTTATTACTACTTCTCAACTTGCCAGTGATTAAGCATAATTAAGGCTTAAATGGACCAATATTAAACTCTGATTATGAAGAGGCAAAAAACATTTATATATGCAAATAAAAACGTCACTTTTTTTTTTTTAAATCACTGTGCTATACTTGCATTTCATGTTTAAAGGCACAATGCTTCAAACGGGAAATTACTTGAAATGTGTTTAATAGCTACACTTTAACACCTTAAGGACCAAACTTCTGGAATAAAAGGGAATCATGACATGTCACGTGTTCTTAAGGGGTTAAACAATGATAATGTTGGTTAGGATGCAATGAATTTATTGTTTTTACAGTATGGTACCAAAGAGCTGTTATGTATCAATTTATTTATAGAAGATTTAAAGGCATATCCCTATCACTTACTGCAATCTTTCAAAATACTTTCAAGTCTCTTACATTTAAAACCAACTTGTCACAACACTGCCACTGCTAGAAGACGTGCAATATTGTGCTTTGTATACACAATTCAAAATATATATTTCTTTCTATTTACTGAAAGGCTCAGGACACTTGCTCAACCTTCTATTCCAAGAAGTAAAGGGGGGCACATTATAAATAAATTATTTGAAACAGTGAAAGTACTATACATTATAAATTTTCTCTTGCAATATTGAAATTTGTACATAATGGTTTTTTTTGCTATTTATAATTGATTCAAGTACCTTTTCTTTCAATAAAAATACATATGTATATAGACACCTTGCTAAAAGATTTCCAAGGTGTACATGCGATTTATACCAAGATCATTTGACAGTAGAATATAAAGTGGCTCTTGCCCACCAATGGTACTCCAATCCTTTTTTGTCTTGCTCCAAAACTTAAAAAAGTGCATGTTTCCTCGGCATTGCATGGACAAGACTATTCATATTATGGTTTACCAGATCTCTTTTTGTTAAAGGAGTCTTTTATTCTCATTATCTCTGCTGCACACAGATGGCCAAATACTCTGTTGTACCATTCGGTTGAATGCCCTCTGCAAAAAAAAAAAACTTACTTTAGACATTGTTATAACATCGTAAAATAGTTTCAAACAAAACCACAACAAAAACCACACAAGACATCGATACAGTTCAATAAAACACATGACACCCTGGAGAACATATGACATAACATTTACCAACAGATCTGTTACTAACATTTTGGGTAGCAGAATGTTAGTGCTCATTGTACAGATTACCAATTTAATGATAGTTATTCAGTCTACATAGCCATGGCACAGGCAGCATGAGCTGTAGCCAACTCACTAGGATAGGCCATAATGGATGTTTCTTGTGTGTAGAAAGAACCTCTTTGGCTCTTCATAACTGGATTGTTTTTACAAGAATGAGGAACAATCGGATAAGCTAAATGGAAAAAAAAAATTCTAGAGTGGCATTAATAAACTACAACCCGTCTGTATTGGGAATCACTCTTTCACTGGGTGTGCAGTTTACATTTTACAGCCAATCTGAAGATATGGATAAACATAAACCCTCATTGCAGAGAAGTTTATGGGGAAATGCTCAATTACCAAATTAAAACAATATGATGGCTAGGATTGGCAAACAGGTTTAAGATACGTCCAAGTCTAGGAGGAGCTTCGTGCAGAAGCAGCAAATCTTTGGTATTTCCACTAAACATGTAAGTTTTTTTTTGTTTTGTTTTTTTACATTTATTGCTACATTAATTGAGGTTAGAATAAAACCTTATTTTTGCGAAGTGTTCCCTTCCGTGTAAATACAGACATTAATGAAGCTCTTACCTTGTGTCCACTCTGCAGACATGAGTCAATTTGCTCTTCTGAGTTCCAATGTTCTCTATGAGATGCTGGCACAAGACAACATGTCCTAGTATTCCACTGGGTGGAACATCTTCACAGTCAATTGATGTAGCAGCTAAGATGCAGGTACCACTTTGAGGGTCAGTCCTCCATGTTCTATAGAATAGAAGATTAAAAATCTAAATATCACTTATTCATGTGTTAGGTATATATATATATATAGCTAGCAGCATTTTCATGTAACCACCAACTTTTGTTAAAGGGGCTTAACCAAGCACCATGACCACCTCAATGATTTGAATGGTGCAGGGAGTCTGTGCGTGTAGTGTTTGACTGAAAAACACTGCACGTAAAGTGTTAAAGCACTCTTTGTACCTCCAGCAGAACGGGAATTACAGCATGACCAATGTCCGTTCTATACATAATTGCCGTCTATCATCATGAGGGAAATCTTGGCCTTTTTATGTTTTGCATTTTAAGGGGAGGGACATGCCGCAAAGGTTATTCCATCCAAAAACATTGTATTATTACACACTATTTGGTTGGGGTAACTCTGTAAGTGGTGATGGCCAATATATGAAAAGTATTTATGAATAAAGTTTAGAAAATAGTGTAAAATAGCCCTTCATAAATTGGTGAACGAGGAATGCACATACAATGTCAGACCATGGATTACCTTAAAATCACATATTCTCGGGATGGCAATGGGGACATGCTTTCTGTTGAATAGTGATAAATTTCGGTATCTTCATCTAGTGTTTCTATAATCTTGGACTGTTGAAGATTTGGATCCCATGTGTGTTGCTCTCTCAAAATGTGCTGTAACACCATCTGGGGTGTCCCTTCTATTTCAGTGGAGACTTTCCACAGCCTGAGAGGATATTCATTATTTTCTACCTATAACAAAATAGACAGAATCATTACTTGCAGCCCTGAGTACAATAGATGCAAAACTCAAAATCAACATATTCCCTTTGTTTTAATCACCATATTATAAAGTGGTCTTGATATGGTCTACGGTATGTTAAAAGCCAACCATTCACCTGTAGCCAAAATGCACCTTGACCTGGTATAGAAGATACATTTTAATACATTCTGGTATTGTCCATCATTCTTTTAAATCTCAAGAGTATTGGACGTTTAAAAACGTAACTCAGACTAAGGCAATAGGAAAAATAATCTCTAGACCAGATACAAAACAAAAGTACACTGGATTCCATTTAACATGCAATACCAACCTTTTTATAAGCTAGGTCCACATGTTCAAAGCCAGAACACGCTACCCAACTTCGGAATTTATCCTTGGCATCTCGAAGAAGTTTCTGCATGGAATTCTCCAAGGAGATGAGTGTGTTGCAATGAGCTGCTAATGAGGTGGTTGATGTGTTTATAGCAACATGAGAAATGCTGCTTTGGGGTTGAGAAAACTTTGGACACAGGTCACGACAATATTCAGGGAGCTAAAGGACAATGAAAACAAAAAATATTAAAATGCTGCAGTCAGAACACAAAGCAAATCTACTATATCATATTGCTTCTTAATAATTAAGTAAACGACAATTTAAAAAATTAGAACATTGCAAGGAAACAAAGCTTGTGACGTTTACATGATTACAAAGGAGAACAGAAACATTGATTTATACAAACACGAAGTTGTGGCACATTGAAATTTCCTTTCAAAATTCCGGTTGGAAAACCGCAAAATTATTCAAAATAAAATACACCAAAAAACATTCCAAATTAGTTCTACTGGAGATTCTCTCTTTTGGATTAAAGTTTGAAACGCGTCTCTGACAGAGATAACTAAAAATAAACACTGAACGGAAATAAGCAATTTGCACTCTTTGCCTATAACTAATATGTGTTCGAACTAAGAGTGAATCAGTTTGTTGCTATGTAAGCATACACAATAATTCTACTACTCTTTAAAATAGCACATACAATGTACCACTTGGCTTTTTTCTTTCAATATATAGATTGGGTGTGGGGTATTTACCCTCTAAGAATCCCAAGAATATCAGAAGATGCATCCTTTGTCTGTTCTCCCCAAGATATCTGAATCCCTCACTTTTTATTCCAAGAAGCTTGCAATTAAACAAGCGCCAACAAATCCTTAACTTTTTTTCTGTATCTGGATATAGGATCAATTGGATTTTCACATATGTATTTGTTTTTTCAGGCTGTCTGGGAGAATACGTTGACATGTTTGGAATAGTGATCTAATCAGGTTTATGTACCACAACTCTGAAAATGTATTTCTTTTTCAGTTTACAAAGTACACAGCTTTGCTTCATTACTAAAACAAAAAACGACTATGATATAAGCAAGTATTTAATAATAATGTATTGGTAAAAATGGCAAAACATTAGGGAAAAGTGAAAAGTACAAAAAAGTAATTATATACACACACACACACACACACACACACAACTGATTACCAGTACACAATTGTATTAAAGATAAGCAGAAACCATGTTTTTTGTTTTGTTTTTTAAAGGAAAACTTAAAGTAAGAGGAAAGGAAAAAATGCTTTTCCGAGAAGTATTGGGAACACAGGGCATTTGCATGGCGATCACTGATCTCTACCAAACTGATGCTTCTTATTGAATTTCTTTAGAAGAAGCAATGTATGCATAGTTCGTACTTCTGCAGTGTGTGATGACAATTAACGTACAAACTTTCCATATTCAAGCTCTCAAAGAGGAAATAGTTTGTTTTGTTGCCCAATCAAGTGCAAAGTTTGCACGTACAGGCAGTAAATGCAACCTTAAGCTCGCAAAATGAAATGCTTTTGGAAGAAATCTACACTTTAATGATAGTAACCAACAATTTATATTTACTTGGTTAATAAATATTTTTACTGTGTGCGATGAATGAGAAATACATTTTACATCCTCTGTTACATTGACATGGAGTGGACTGCGTAACACCTTGATTACCTGAAATAGCTTGTTGCACTCTGCAATCATGTGAGCCAAACCCTGAGTTGCTGCCAAATTCTCACTTAAGTCTTTTTGGTCTGGTTTTCCAAGACTGTATTTCCTCTGGCTTGACCTAGACAGGAACAGGTGAAAACGTAAAAGTTTTTAGATTGCCATCAATGCAAGACATATTAAAGGAATATTTTAGAATCCAGCATCACTTGTAAATACCAGCATTACATGCTCCCCTCATTAACCAGCTGCACAGCAGGTCTTTAAATATGTAAACCTCTAAATTCCTTAAATAGCTTTATACCTAACCCACATCTGTTCCTATTTCACTAAGAGCAGGGGTAGATGCTTATTTGTGCTTTTCCGGCACAATCTTCTATGATTTTCGTGGTCAGGAAATTCAGATAGGTCCTTTTAACAGTACTTCAAATTTTAAGTTCTACTCTATGAACTAGGCCTTAAATGTAACCGGCCTGGAGAGCCCATGGTACACTCACCAGGAGCGAATTTCCACTCTCCTATGGAGTGTGGAAATTTTAAGGCCCTGCTTTAAAAATTGCTCTAGGATGCAGCTGCAGACTCCCCTTTTGCCAAATTCTAAAGAGAGGGGTAGTTTAGCTTTTTTAATAATCTTTATGAGGATGTTAATCTACAGAGAAAAAAAAATAAAAATATTCAGAGTTCTTTGGACTGATGCAGTATAACATATGAGATAATATGATGTTCGTATAATATACATGAAATATAATATCTTTAAGATTTTAACGCAATGTTTCTACTTTATGTGCGGCTAGGTAAAATGGAGTTCTGTTTAAGAATGTTCCAAAAGATTGTTGGTATACCATTTAACTGGGATGCTTGAAAAGAGATTTATTTCTCCCAGTTATTGATAAGTTCTTTGATTTCCCTCAACTAAACACATTTTGTTTGGGGTTTGTAAACGTATACAGGTTCATTGGCTGATGTCCAGAGAAGCCCTTAATTGACTAGTTCTCATTGATTCAAATGATAAAAGTACCAATCTTCTCTAATACACCATGGACATCAGAGCAAAGACTGTTGTGAATGTACAACCCATTTATAATCAAGAGTAGTTTAAGGGATAAAGCCCATAGGGAGAACAATTCTTCTAATTTAGTGGCGTTTCCAGACTGTGTGAACAAATCTTTAATTGACATTTTCTATACCTCTTATCCGACAGAATCATATAAAAAACAAAATCTGAATGCATGCGTTTTGTCATTTCTCGTTTTGATTATTCTGAAAGAATGGTTTCTTTTGAAACCTAAAACAAAAAAATGTCCTATAGGACATGATTACAGCACATTTCCTGTGTTATCTAAAAACAGCTCTACTGGACAACTTTGTACAAAGCAGCGGTTGATAAGGCTTTAATCCTTCCAGCCAAGACCTTACAGATTATTGTTCTTTGAAGTTTAAATCCCAAAGTAAAACATTAACAACTATAGGTCTGCCAAAGCAGTTCAAAGTAGTCTTTTTAGTAAAAGCAATAAAGAGTAGATTTAAGAAGCCTGTAGGAGAAAAACAAACAAAACAATAAAGCACTCATAGTTTCATGTAAAAAGAGTGCTTGATTACTTGAATGAGAATATGGACTTAATCCTATTTAATGACTTCCTATCAAACTAGTTATCGCATATAGTACATACTAATATGCAGAGCAGTGTAAGGAGATCTGAAGATTTGTTTCAACAAAAGTCTTGATTAGAAAGAAATCTTATATAGATCATTCACAAAACTATTTTGCACAAATGTGACACTTTGAATTCTCAGCTTGATTAAGGCAGCATCTATCAATGACTCCAAGCTGAAGGACAAACGAAGGACAAACCCCTCCTAAATTACAACTGCAAGCTAGGTGGGAAAATCTAAGCTGGACAATAAACTGCTTGAAAATCTATTAATGCACTCATCCTGCATAGATCAGAAGGAACGGAGCTAATTAAACGTCCGTAAATGATGAAAAGCATATTCGTTCTTCAACAGTACTGTGATGTAATACATCATGGTATGCATGCTTTCACTTTTGTTTAAGATTATCTAGAGTGGCACCACCATGCTACTCGTTTCAAGGCTTGAGTTACAAGTTTGAGATTTGTTTGTTTCTTATTTCTGTGTCTAATGTGTTAACTTTTTTCACCCACTTTCCTTATTAATTAAAAACAAACAAGGGATAATGGTTTAGAAAGATAAAATGTCCAACAGACCTTATTGTTTCAGATTTCAGACACCACAATCACTCCTGCCCAGTTTACTGGTTATGGTGCCATGAGTAAGGGTGCCAATGCAAGGTTTTCTGTCAAATCATTTGACAACTGCCTGCTCTCAAGGACATCTAAGACCTGACCTCTCAACTTACTATTGTGGTCCAAGGATGAACAGATTCACACTACACTTACAGAATGGTAACTATTCACACCATGAAATAAGAACGTACAGGAGACTTTGTCCATGCCAGAATTATGATAAAGCCTTTTTGGAGTCACCAAACCGACACGGGGAGCCTGTATGTTATTCACATAAGCTGTGAAGGTTAACAGCAAAATGGTTGTTTAAATTCAGTGGAACTAAATCTTATCCCTCCACTTGGTGCTAGGAATCCCCCAGTTTCTGTCAAACTACTTGAAAATAGTTTCCCAAATATTGGAGGGACTTTAGCTCTAGTCTTCCAATAACACAATAACAGCAACAAGCTGTAGTTGTTGTGTTGTCCAGTAGTGATGTCGCAAACGGTTCGCCGCGAACGGTTCGCTGTGTTCTCATCATTGAGTAAACTTTGACCCTGTACCTCACAGTCAGCAGACACATTCCAGCCAATCAGCAGCAGACCCTCCCTCCCAGACCCTCCCACCTCCTGGACAGCATCCATTTTGTGAAGCTGCATTCTTAGTGAGCTGTCCAGGAGGTGGGAGGGTCTGGGAGGGAGGGTCTGCTGCTGATTGGCTGGAATGTGTCTGCTGACTGTGAGGTACAGGGTCAAAGTTTACTCAATGATGAGTCCGCTGCGAACCGTTCGGGACATCACTATTGTCCAGGTTACCCCTTTAAGTCTGATTCTACTAGTGAACATATGGAAACTGTGGTATTTCTCTTACAGTTCCTACAGAGATCTGTACACATAGATCAATTAAACACACACCTGGAAGAAGATGAAGAACTCTCTCTCCGAAGTGTGTTCAGATGAAACAGACTGGGGGCCAAACACACAGCAATGTTGGTGGGCGTCATTTGATTTTCAGACACACAGGCAACCACATCTCGGAGGAAACACAAGAGGATCCGAAGGGCTTCCCGACTTTCGTCTGGAAGAAGTAGAATGGCAGCCTGAACAGCACAAAAATGCTGATCCTTTGGTAAATCTACAAGAGAAACAAAGAGATAATACAGATTGTATGCGTTTCTAAATTAGTTCAAATAAAATAAACCAGTATTCTGACTTTTAATCATGCCTCCCTTTGTAGCATACATTAATGGGAAAATACCCAATTGGCTGAAAACCCATACATTAAATAAACTTAAAATGGAAAAAAATAAATCAATAAAAAAGAAGATCGAACAGAAATGCCTCACTGTGGTTATGTCTGACCAATGTTTCTGTGCAGGCAAATAATGAACAATGAAAATTGAAAAACACATGGAGAGTAAATTTTATATTCTATAAAATTCCTTCAGCAGATGTACACTTTAACACTGTTCTCATTTGTGGTTTCATTCATGAATTTTTGATGAATGATGTAAAGGAGTTCATTCACAGGTATGGTAGCTGTATGGACACACTCACAGCTATTCTTCAGATCCCTGTGGAGATGGGGCATCCACATTTTAGCATCACCAGTGATACAAGTAGCATCACTTGAATGCTCCCACAGGCTTGTCCACCTGCTGTCCCAATTTCATATCCCCCAATTTAGGGAGGGATAAGCAAGGACAAACAGACACAGAAATGATAAAGGAGAGGGAGATGCACCAATGAGAATTAGGACAGTGAACAAAATCATGATTTGCTTAACTGATCACAGGAATTAAAGAAAAAGGTGATTAAATGATTAATTCCTTAAGAAGAGCGAAGGAGAAGTCCCTAATATTGCTTACATTGATAGATGTGCAGGAAAGATTCACACATCTTGCTTGTGAAAATGGGTTCAGGCAAATCCCGGAAATACTGCTTCACCATGTCTGCCACGTCAAACGCAGACTGTCCATCGTAATTCACAAAGTTGGAATCCAACTCGTTCATCTCACGCAGGGACTGTATCCTTGATTTCACACCAGATTTTCTAAAAAGGCCAACCTATTCAAAAAAGTTGAAGTTAGCACATTATTTTGCATATTTTACTTTTTTTATATCTAAGTAATATTTTCACTGGTTTACTATTTTTATACATTTAGAAACTCAGTTTAGAGATCAGTGTTAAAATGGCAGTAAAATTCAGTACAAGGAAAAGAGAATCAAATTATTCTCGTCTTCTCTGACCATCTCAATGGGTTCTCTGCAGCTTTGCTCATTGAAATGCTGCCCAAACATGTGATTCATCACTTCCTGTTGAAATCCAATCAGGAAGGAAAAAAAACCAACAGAACTTTATGGATGCATAAAACAACACTCCGGAATGCTGGCTTGAAATCCACCCCACACCCACTTTAAAAAACAAAAGGGTTCTGTAATATAACAAAATATAGTTCCAAGTATGCCGAAACTTGAAGAGCATCAAGGGCAATGAGTCGGAGGAGATCAGGGAAACAAAGCATCAGTGCAACACATCAGGAGATGAACAGGGATACAAAAGGTACAATACTGTGAAAAGGCCTACATGTCACCTTGTTGACTTCAAATGTAATCGTTCTTTACAGAGAATATATAAAATAAATAAATGTGGCTTTGGCTCAATCCTGCAATTCTTTAAAAATTACAAAGCAATAAACATACCTGATCCAGAAAGTGTATCCGTAAATACTCCATGGCCTGGAGAATGCTTTTGGGAAGTGGATGGCCTGTTTTCTGAACGTTCAGCAGGAATGGGACGCCAAATACATATTTATCCTTGTAGTCTGGAGCTCTAATTTTACGGATAAACTTCGGTACTGTCCTAGAAATAAAAATGTAATATTGGTGAGGGATGTTCTAACCTAAAGAATTCCAAGATTCAGTACAGTTATTGCACAGCTTTTCCAGATGTATTCGACTTTAAGTAGCTTTTTGATAAATTAGAATCAAGTCAAGATTTATTTCTATCAAAAGGCTCATTTGTATTCAAACAAACTCAGCATAACCAATATATAATTTTTTTAATTTTATTTTTAATAACTGAAAATACACAAAAAATATAAAATGATTCTGTTGATGTAGTTATATACATCATTAACAAAGATAAGTAGTACCCTTTATCTTCAACTAGATAATGTATTTTAAACTAAATGGGGAACAATGAGCACAATAGACTCCTGCATTAGGATGAACCAGGGCACAACTATGCTCCTCCACCTTTAAATATTTGCTCTACTTTAAAAAAACATATAACGCTTTGATAACCCCCTGAGAAAAACACAAAGTTTTGCCACTTATAATTAAGCCATTCTTCTTATGGATCACTTGGTCTTTAACTGAAAAGGTCACAATGTAATGTTTAGTACTAAAAATGAATACAGGCATAAATAACCTTTCAAATAAAAATAAATAAAAAATAAAAACCACAGCACTTGGATGACTGGTGGGGAAATTTAAATGGACTCAAAATTCTCAACCATTGGGGATGCAATACTAGTTTTGAAAGCACTGCTTTAAACCATAATATGGATTGTAAAGAGAATACTGTGCAAAAAACAAACAAAAAAAAACACAGATACAAATTGATTTGCTAGCCCCTCTGCTAGTGGACCCGAGAATGACGAATACACAAAATACCACCCAAAGACCCCAAAGTCTGAGGGCTATGCGCAGTATCTCAACTGTTCCAAAAACTGCACTCTTCTGGACACATGGAATCTGCTGAAGCCATGCTCGCCACTTGGGGTTTAAAGCTGACCAACCAAGTATTCCAGAACCAGAAGGACAATCCCACCACCTGCTCCATCCTGACTCACTGGAATGCCACATAAGCACAAAAACATTGGTAGCAGGTTCAAGTTGATAAAAATCAAGCAAAGTGAAGACAGTGTTAAATTGGAAATTTGCATAATATTCCATTCTATAACGGATACAACAGAGGTGAAAAACTGAATGATCATAGTACAATAGTCAAACTGTGCCTGTTCTAGTTGGCTGAGGCATTAAACAAACCAAAGGTAAACAAGATAAAAGGGGCTCCATAGCGCAAAGCCAATCTTGTATCAGCAGGTCAATGCCGACAAAACACAGGGAGATAATATGGATATTGTAGGTACACATGTAATTCACCTTTATAATAGCTTTGAGCAGTATATATACACACACACACATATATATATATATATATATATATATATATATATATATATATATATATATATATATATATATATATATATATATATATACACACACACATACATACACACACACACACACAATTTTTTTTTTTTTAAATCCACTAAAGTCCGAATACTCACCAGTTCCAGCCCTGCTTGCTAGACGGGGAATATTTATCCATCAACGCTGTTAACTTGAGCAAAGCCAGTTTTTGAATCCGGTTCAGGTGGGCTGCTGACTGGCTATCAACTTGTAATAATGGGTTCTCAGGTTCTGGACTGTGTCTGCAGGGTAAAGCATTAAGAGTGATCAACATGTCTAAGGTGTTCCTTCGTACATGCAGTACATTGTCCTAGGAGACCGAATTCATGTTTCACACAGACCCCAGCTGTAAAATACAGTCAAGTATGCAGTGTAATAATACATTACCTAAAGCCTTGCTATAAAATATGAAAAGGCATTTTAACAGTGTCAGCTTAGCACAGAAAACCATAGATAAATCACTAAGTTTCTGCTGCTTTTGAGACTTAAAAGACTTAATTCCGTAAAAGACGACAAACAGATTGGTTGCTTTTTGTGCCGTTAAGTCCCACTGCTGTCAATGGGAATTAATGGGAGTAAAACTGCCAGGTCAGCTCTTTTCCTTATATAGAATAAAGCCCTTCTGAAGTTAGAGGGTCGGGTCAAAATTAAGAATTAGAACAGTTTTAACCGGCTTTGTACAATATGATTTGTTATGTTCTACTTGAATTCAGTTTGCTTGCTTTTAACAACACAAGCATGAAAACCTGACACTGTACAGCAAATATGCTGAAACCTGTAATAACGTTACTGAAGAAACAAACCAGAAAATACAATTTCTATACTACAGAGAATACATAACTGCACGTTATCGGGAAATATTATTGAGAGATTTTGGTGGCTTTAGGAGACTGAGATGGGCATTATTTAATGGACACTTTAATCTTTATGTATAATATAAGCTAAAAAATAAAAAAAAATAAAAAAAATTATAAAGGCAGCAATCTAATCTTCGTGCAGCGGTCTGCCTGAGATTGATAGTAGTTTCAAGTCAAGGCAGCAGCTACTCTTTAGGATTATTGTTCTATTTACAAACATGATCTGTATATTAATAGAACTGTCAAATATATTTGGAACATTTGCGCTCTTGAGGAGCTCTGCATTTCAGGGTTTGATATTTTTTGTTTACATTACATAAATCGTTTTTAAAAAGCTGCACTTTCCAGAACATGCATACTTGATAAGGGTGCTGTTGGGACACATGCACACAAATAAGAATGTGGACGTTAAACACTAAGCTTTAAAACCCAGTGTGAAGTTAAGACACACAACCTGCATAAAATAATGGGGATTCACAGTTGCAGTATATGATCATTCACAGAATAAAACTTGCCACTTTTTTCAGAATACCCCCTTTTTTTGAAAGGTTCTACTCTATACCAGCTCTTATTAGATTGTCGCTTATTTAAAATGTACATTTTCTATAAAGATCAGCACAACTTAAATTATAAATAGTAAATCCTTACATAAAGCAAATATTTAAAATGTCTGTCTTTTTACAAGCATAATGAATACACAACCAAAAAGTAAAATTACCATGCCTTTGAAAACAGTTCATGTCACGTGCTAGGATAAATTACTTTTTGTGACTAAGGACTAACCTGCTGCAATCTGTTAAAGATGACCCCATCTCAGAAACCGTTATATAGGGCAAAATGGAAGAGTCACTGTCCGTACAAGGTTTGCAACTATCCGAGTCATCGGTGGATTTCGATTTGCCATGTATATGTTCGTTTACCTCAAGGTGGATTGTTTTGGGGGAAGAAGGACAAGGGGAGGCAGAGTCATTAGCAAAATCAGAATCTCCATCATCTGAGAACTTTTCAGACCATTCACTGACCAGTTTGCGAAGTCCATTAACATGCTCCATTACATTGTCTAGTTCTGAGAATACATCGTCATCTCCTGGGGATTCAAGCTTGTTGAGGTGGAAAGGAAGATTTGGCACATTATCATAAATGCTTAGTCGATTGTTAACAAGTGAAAGTGGACTTGGAGGAGTTTCGGTGTCTTTGGAGCTACTAGATCTCATCCTGTTCCTATTGCAACCATGAAAGCTTCCAGTCCTCCAATTTACAGAGGTATTATCTATAGGTGTCAATATAGTATTTGTAAGTGCTTTGGGAAATGTACCCGGTTTATGGCCCTGTGGTATCTGGAAAACTTGATTTTGATGCAAGTGCTGCTCATTTCTGAAATTTTGCTCAGATATATCACTCCATAGGGGGAATTTAGTAAGATCAAAGTCTTCTGCATACATGCCGCCTCTTTTCATGTGACTTCTCACTCTTATAACAGGACTGGGGGTGCTCACAGTGCTGCTATTTTCAGATGGACTACTGCTGCTGCATGTCTGAGAAGAACATGAAAGTCCCTCTTTACTTTGAGCATCAGCTAGATCTGAAATGTTGACACAGTTTAGGTTCCGTAATTTATCGTCATCAAGTCCATCTAGCAAAACAGGACCACTGATACTAGGTCGCTCTTTTGGAAACGCATTTCTTTTTACAGTAGAGCTTCTTAAGCGTAGCTTTTCCATTTTCCTCAGCAGACTTTTACCTCTTTTATTAGGTGGCTTTTCAAGCAACCTTTCCTCTGTGATGATATTTAGTGTATCACTAGGAGATGGGGAACAACGAAATGTTGAATCTGGAGAGATGAGTTTAGTTGAAGATGAACACCTTGAAGAACTTCTGCTGGTCTCCAAGTCTTCATAAGTCTTGAGGAAGCCATCACTCTCAGCACTGCTAGAGCTGTGTAATGAAGATGCATCATTTTTCTCCCCAAGATCTGATAAATCATCTTTTGGGCTCTTACTACATGGACTACTTGGCAAGGACAGAGTTGAAGTTTCCTCTGGTTGAAAACAATCTAAATTCTCCAGTCGGGACCACCTTTGACTTTGCCTCTGATAGGACCATTTGTTGCTTATCGCACAAGGTTCATCTTCTTCAGAGTCACTCTAAAAACAAAGATGCAGTGAACATTACCAATAATTTTGGGGGAAAAAATTATATTTTTTTAAAAGGCTAAATAAAACAAGAGTATACAAGCATAAAATAATACAACACGGTGTACTGCTAAATGATCACTTTGATTAGGGGAGATCTACGGTAGATTTCATCACTGCCCCTACAATTTAAATATTTATAATTTGAAGCAAGACTTTTTTTACATACCTGTTTTCTGTTACGACTAATTTCAACTTTCATAGTGGCACATTTGTTCAAGGTATTCAAACGCCTGAATGAATGAATAGGAATCGTAAAAATGTCAATATTAATTTTAGAATATTTGACATTAAAAAACAAAACATAGCCAAATACTAAACATCGGAGAATAAATGCAATTATAGAATGGGAAAATGAAATTTTAAAAATGATTTCTGTCCTCATTTGTTTTTTTTACTCATTACCCACAATGCATGCAAGTTACCTTTTTATTATAACTGAGAATATTCATACAAAGAAATCTGCCCTCTTGCATATTTGTAGAGGTTTGGAACTACTTGCCCGATATACAGTCTAATATTCATAATAGATTTTAATAGTACCATGTTTCATATGTAGTGGTATTTGTATCTGCACCAACACATCTCCACTTAAATTGCCATCCCTGCAACGAAATTTAGAACCAGTATGCCAAATGTAGGCCTTTTTGACCTCATAATTAAATTGTGTGCAACATAGTCTATTTGTATTTGAATAAAAACAGACTGGTTTAAAGAAACCAAATATTGTTTTTTTGAGAGAGTTTTACGCCAATGTATTAGGACAAGGAAATGTTCTACACCTTGAACTTGCAAACACTGACATACATCTATAAACACACAAACAAACACCAAAATAAATAAAAAATGGGGGGGAGGTGATCCATAGATGATTAAATAACATATACATACACACCTGTACAATGATTCCATCGCATCTCGATCCAGGAATTCATGGTCATTTTTCACGATTTCTATGTCAATTGGAAATAGCATATCTAAAAAAAATAATAATAAAAAAAAATTCATGAACATTTTATTTAATATCTTTATCTGCAATGTTATGGTGCTTATAACGCATTGACAGGATTTCCAATATAATTAGTGCTAACTGGTGTCACATAATTAATTTATCAACACCATATGAAAACCTTCAGGCAACTTCAATAAAAATAAAAATAAAAAAAAAGATAAGAGGGTTTAAGTGCCAAGTGATGTGTTTCTGCAATTCAACAGATTGTACTAGCAGTAATTTACACTCAAGTCTCACTATGCCAGCTTGGCCAATCAGATCGTACACCAAGATTAGTAGAACTCTTCTGCAGTTATACAGGGAAATGATGCATGCTGGGAGACCCAGACAAATAGCGTTTTTGTATCAGGGATGACATTTTGTACTTGCCTTCATAAAGCTGTGCATATTGCGGAAAACCAGCAGCTCTCAGCCAATCACAGGCCTCCTTGGCTTCAATTTCTAGTGGGAAAAATGAAAAGATAAAAATGAAAAGATAAAAACTGGAGCTTTCCCATAGCATCATTTCATGGCATTCTTGGTCACATAACTAATTCCTATAGACCAACAGCTAAATACTTATACAGCCATACAAAGTACCAGTCTGACTCCCAACTCTTATCACACCATTGCATGGGTTCATAACATTTTTTTAAAAGTTTGCCCACAATGCAGTGTACTGAACCAGATATCACAAATTAAAACTGGTAAATTATATACATACATACATATACACATACCTCACACACACGCAGAGTTTTGGTTCAAAGCTGTTGTATACAGCAAACAAACTCCAAAGAATCCATGTTTAAAATGGAATGAGGCAAAAATGTGATTCTTTGTTAAACTAATTTGCATATGTCCACCCAGAATCCTTTGCGGTAGTAACATCACTGCAGATTTGTGATTTCTGTGGGAAAAGCAAGTCTTATGGCTTGACTCATGTGCAGATCAGTGTTTAACAATGTATTGACCATACATTGACTTGAGGTGTAAGGGTTTTTTTCCCCCCATTTTAAGTTGGATGTTGTAAGCAAATTGAAAAGTATTCAGTGATGTTCAAATGTTTGCTTCAGAAAAAAAAAAAATATGAAAAAATAATTTACAAGATTTATAGACGTATTTATTAACATACCAACGAAGTCCAAAGCAGTGCACAGTTGGAACTGCATTAAACATAATAGAAAATTTAGAGCCTTCAACATTTGGAATTAGTATTGATTATGCATGTGTTTATCCTTCTATTCGTCAGAGATTTCTCTCTAGCCAAATATCACATCACTCTGAAACTGGTGCTTTGGCCAACAGATGTTTAGCATTAACTGCTCATTTTGTGGCAATTAATAAAACTCTAGAGCCAACACTTTAACATTCCCACAGGAGCGGGGGTCACAGCCTAACCTTCCCGAATTACAGAACACTCACCAGATGCCCTAAAAATGTAAACACGTTTAGTAGGTTTTAGAGGCAGAGAACATCACTAAACATCTAATAGGTGCAACACAAGTTTTTCTTTTTGGTTTAGTGGGGCCCAAAAGAGAGGGGGGGAGGGAGCAAGAGGAATGAGAACAGACTTTAAAATGTTGGTGACATCACTGTTCTCTGTCAACTGGGAATTCACTGCAGATGTCAGCTGTGTACGTTTGAGAAGTGTACAGAGCTGAGGAGCTACATCAAGATAATGATATGGAACATTAAAAAAAAAAAGTTAAGTGTCATGTAAATATAATTCTAATGCTCAAGTATGCTGGTGATGTCAGAGTTTACAATCCAGAGGAGATAGATTTTGTTAAGGGACTACGGTGCCAATTGATTCTGCTACTAACCGTTTTAGTTTGATAGTCCTACCTATGGCACTTTATTACACTGAGAGAGGCCCAAGCAACTCTCTGGTAATGGAAGTAGGGACCTGTAAAAGTCAAAATGGTTTAACTCCTAACAGTGGGGTAAGGCACTCCTGGCATCAAAACCACTGCTGCTCACTATAGTGGTTATGGTTCTTGGCATGTTCCTAAAGCGTTCTGAATAGAAAAGTCTGTATTCTTAACACTACAGTGTTCTTTTCTGCACTTAGTTTTCCCACAACCTATTAAAAATGTATTTTTCAAATGGAAGGAAAGTTTATTACTCACCATCTATTCCAGCACAGAGATCCAGTAACTACAGCCACCTGATCTGCTACCACAACATCACAAAATGTGCTTGCGTGTGAGCTGTGAATCTCACAGAAGAAGCGCCTCTAGTGGCTGCCAGGTAGACAGCCATTAGAGGAGTATTTAACCATGCAATGTAAACATTACTATATCCACTAAAGAGCAATGTTTTACATTGTAGGGTTACAATTAAAGGATTGCTGCAGCCAGATAACTTCACTGAGATGAGGTGCCTTTAAATACATCAAACCAGGGTTTTTGTGACATGGGTTCAATTGCTAAATAGTGAAGGTGGTGAATAGAAAACAAACCTGAATTAGAGAATGTTTGCACTGCAGATATTTTGGGGAATATTTTGTATTTCAGATTTTAAAATCAGCACAATTCACAGTTTAGTTTAGTAAATAAAGCTAAAATGTGTGCAATCGAACAAGTGTGTGTGGACAGATAACAAAATTCCACTTTGAGGCCAACATTTCCTTTTTTCTTTTCACAGTTTACTGTAATACACTGTATTTCACACTTGGGTAACACATATTCCAAAGATTTAAGGTGGAAAACCCTGATGAGTACATTTGAACAGAATGTCTACACATTCAAAAATTCCACATGCAACTTTGAAATAACATTCACAATCCCAAAATAGACAAATCTTTAAATATAACATTACTATCCACCATCATATACATTTAATTTATTTATTTAAAAAAAAAAAAAATTAGACACCCTAGGCAATATAACCACTAGAAGCATGTGTTAAATTGCTTAGAATTCCTGGGCACTGACTCCCTGTTTTTTGTTTATATATATATATATATATATATATATATATATATATATATATATATATATATACACACATACATACATACACACACACACACACATATTTTTTTTTTTTTTAACAGTTTGGCCACTAATCTTGGTTGCCGCCAGCCTCCAGGGATCCTCCCCTGATAGCTTCTGCCCTAGCCATTGAAAGCAATTCTCAGCATAGGAATATCCACAGAATTTTAGCCAGCCGCTTGCCAATGACACTCCTGTGAAGCCGGAGTAGTTAAACCTCTGGCAGCAGAGGGGTTAAACTTTGCATGTGCAGCATTTCAAAGTGAAATGCCGCACACACACAGTCTCCAGGCACAATGACCACTTCAAATTACTTAAGTGATTGTGGTGCTTGGAGAAATCCTGTAAAAGCAATTTATAGTGGTCATGGTGATAGGAGTCTTTATGTACAGTGTTTCTGCTTGAAAGTGTGTACATCCAGAGATACCTGCACTTGTGTTGCAACCCCAGCACACATGAATTTGGAAGCCAAGAACGCTGTTCCTGAATGGAATAGGTCAATCTGTACAAATATATTGTCAGCACGTTGGCAACAAACATACCGTAATTAGCTTCTCCCTTGCAGACAACGCGCCTACAAGGGGAAGCTTGCGCTTACAACCATCGATAGCTTAGATTGCTTTAACCCCTTAAGGACCAAACTTCTGGAATAAAAGGGAATCATGACATGTCACACATGTCATGTGTCCTTAAGGGGTTAATATACATACACATGTATCCCATTCCTCACCTGCTCAGAGCATGCACATACGCCCGGCTTCTAGGAGAAGTCTTTGATTGGACCATGCGAAGCCCTTATTGAAAGACGCAGCAGTGGAGATAAGTACCGGGATGATTACAGACCAGTTTTAAAGTATTTTTGTACCTTTTGGGGGGTGGGGGGGGGGAGGGGAGGGGGGCAAGCAAGGAATTCCTAATATAGCATAATAAATAAATACAGAGGTTTTTAAAAAGGGTTACAGTAATCCTTTAATGTCAATTTCATCGGACCAGAAGAGCCATCCAGTTTGCCAAAAAAAAAAAAATCCTTATTCTGAAAGCAGGTTTCCTTCTCAATATGTAAATTATGCATATCTGATATTCTGGGAAAAGGTAATTATTTAAAGATCGTCAAATGTTCTGTTCCCATGAGGTATAAGAAGAAATATCTTTGCTGATCGTCATTTTAATGATTCTTAGAATTTGAAGGCTGTACCCATTGCTATTCTAAAATACCTTAAACCACACCAATTAGCATGGAATCTATCATGAATGTTTGAAAATGTGAATTAGAACTTTTTTTTTAGCATTGTGAATGACATTCTTTTCTTGGTTTGAACAAGTCTATATTCTTAAGAGATATTATGGTTTTCATAATCGTAACATTATCCAAAATTTCCAGGAAGAAGATGTGAGAAACCTACAATTACAAGCCGTAATTTAATTTATATTTTGTTTTGCACAATGCCGGGAAAAGTAATAAATAACCTAAATGGCACACGCTACACACGTTATTTCTGATTTAACCTTATTTACTTGTAGATTTAATAATATGGTCTGTATGGCGACATTGCTGTGTTTTTTAAATTTTTATGATTATTAGTTTTCCTAATTAAAGAAAGAAGTGAAAGTTAGCATAATTGTTTTATTGCAGTCTTCATCAAAATGGAGAATGGATGTTGCCAAGTCATATGTACTCCAAGTACATATTGAGTAATTTGAAAAATCCTCATTTATTTGAAAAAAATCATTGATGGCTTAGTAGGAGGTTTACATTTTTAAAGGCAGTGTTACTTCCTTCCTAGATACATAATATCATCAAAACAAAATCTTTTTTAAAAAAAACAACAACAACAACAACAACATTGTACTGTCACCCACGTCAGCTTGTTATGGTTTATTTTTTTTATTTTAAAAAGAGACATAGGCATCGAAACAAGTTTGTATTAGACTATATTTCCTATAATGCTTTACAGTCATAATACTGGCAAATTGATCAAGGGAGGTGTAGTCCACAACAAATTATATAACTCAAGATCCACAGGTGGGGATAGGATTATAAAGGGACTGATTAAAATATATAAATATATGCAAATAAAAAGATTTAAGACAGCAATTACAGACTGTACAATTACAGACAAGTTACAAAAATGTGCATTGCCAATAAGTCTAGAGATAATGAGGCATTGGGAGCTCTGCCGTTCGCACACCAAAGAAGCATTGGCTAAATGAGAATGCAGACTGCAAGGGAACGAGCGGCGCATGCTTCCCCTGGGGGGCCATCGGTTCATATCACCGAACGCCCAGCAGGGGCAGCATTCGGCTCCCGAGCCGGCCTGCATGCACCGTCTTCGATCCCGGTGTCAGGGATCATCCTACCCGCTACTAACTGAGCTATAATCACTTGCCACGCTCGTGCCTACCCAGGCGAACGCTCTCTCCTGCAGATACCTGAGTGTGGGTATCCACCGGAGAGAGGGACGCGGGCCAGCAGTGAGTCCCTGAGGCTGTGAGTTGGTCTCACGGGCACAGGGTTCCCGCATGGAAGTCCGTGCCGACCAATGGGAGGAGTGCCCATTTAAACTGGGTTCGCGCCATTTTCCTGGTTGGTCAGCGCGAGTAAAGCGTTGATTGGTCGCCGCAGGGATGACTAATCCAAGAAGGAGCGCTTGTTCATATGGGTTTTCGCGCCCTTCCATCTGTTTCGGTGGCAAAACATCTCTTGTCCCTGGGTGCTGGTTGGCGCGAATAGGTTTCGCGCCCTTTCTTCGGATTGGATGGAGACCCCCCTGCAGGGGTCTGTGCATAAAAAGCAGTGTGCCCAAAAGTTGTAACCTGGAACGGTGTCCCATCCAGTTACTGGGGAAATGGGTCTGACCTATCATTACCAAAGAGGATAACCATGGTGTTTAAACAGACTGTATAGCCCATTTTCTTTGATCCTATATTGTTAAAGGACCACTATAGTGCCAGGAAAACATACTCGTTTTCCTGGCACTATAGTGCCCTGAGGGTGCCCCCACCCTCAGGGTCCCCCTCCCGCCCGGCTCTGGAAGGGGTTAAAACTTACCTTTTTCCAGAGCTGGGCGGAGAGCTCTCCTCCTCCGATCCTCCTCTTCTCCTCCCCGTCGGCTGGCTGCGCACGCATTCAGCCGGTCACATAGGAAAGCATCATCAATGCTTTCCTATGGACACTTGCGTGCTCTCACTGTGATTTTCACAGTTAGAATCACGCAAGCGCCTCTAGCGGCTGTCAATGAGACAGCCACTAGAGGAAATAGGGGAAGGCTTAACCCATTCATAAACATAGCAGTTTCTCTGAAACTGCTATGTTATGAAAAAAATGGGTTAACCCTAGCTGGACCAGGCACCCAGACCACCTCATTAACCTGAAGTGGTCTGGGTGCCTAGAGTGGTCCTTTAAGCATTGCTGAAAAGTATCGTAAAGTTTGGATAGTGATGGCTTCTAAATCATTAATAGCTCTTTGGCAGCTGTACACATGTAAATAAAATATCAGATTTGAAAATCTGGCTTCCCTTATTTGAAACAAACATTTGATCTTGATTATCTCAGCTAATCCAATACTTCCCCCAAAGGGAGGCTAGTGCGCAGCAAATAGTGGTTCTGTGCCAGTCAAACACTGCCCTAGAATCAGAATTTGATTGAAGACACCGTTTGATTGCGTTTGTACACTAGTGGTGCGTTAGATGTGCAAACATAACATTGTCATTAATACAGCAGATTACAAATCCAAAGGTCTCCACTCCCAGACCACTTCATTAGGACAATGTGGTTTGTATGCCTATAGTGGTCCTTTATTGACATCCTTATTTCTCAGTCAAATCAGCACATGCAGTGCACGGTTACTCAAGATCTAGCCCAATCTTATAGTAACTAAATGTAGGGCCTACAAGATATACAGCCAAGTCGTTCTTCTTACATCTTATCTCTCGAGTGCCTCACAGATCCTTTTTGGTCTTTTCTTAGTATATGGTAAAGGAGACTCCTGATTTAACACAAGTGATTTTAGAATTGTCTTCAGCGACTACTAAACATTTTTACTACTATATAGTAGAGTATCCCGCCTCTTCGTGTGAACTTTCTGCTTCACAAACAAAACACTATTTTGCATCTCTGCTGATCTATGACAGGAATTCTGTCCAACAAATTACTCTTCAGGCCAATGGTGCACTAAAGGAAATGTCAAGACAACACAGTTTAATTTGTTGGTGTTTTTTTTTATCCCAAAGTCAACTCATTTAAAAGTTTACAAGTGCCCTGAAACAATTGCCTAAATGCGCTCATTGCATGTTCAGTAGCTTCCATAAACACATTTCTGATTTACTACTTCCTAGAATGATGGTAAAAAGCCTGACTAACATCTCAGCTTTCATTTTGACCAAACTCCTGTTTGGACATACTTGAAAACAAGAGAAATCTCAATGTATCTTTCCTGGTAAAATATTTTATAAATAAATAAATTATATAATTGTATTCAGGACAAAATAATAAAAGGGAAGAAAATGTAATTTAAAGAAGTGTGATATGGGTCAAACGGTTTTTAGTCAATACCACTATCACAGTGGTTGGCAACCTTCGGCACTCCCTGATACTTTGCTAGCATTATGGGAGACATAGTCCACAACATCTGGAGTGCCAAAGGTAGCCAACCTCTGCTCTATTAATATACACAACCTCTCAGACATTCTGTTGATATTGCCAATATATTTGATGTAAGATAAAGAAAAAAATACAAAAAAACACAATAAATAATGAGTTGTTTTAAAAATCAAAACACACACACTTAAATAAAAGCAGAGTGTATGCCTAATCAGATTAATAGTTTCAGTGAGTGATATGAATGCCTACACAATAAACACTTTCTCAACAAAGTAGATCTTCTTCACTCTGTTTAGGCTGTAGACTAAAGGATGTTTTTATAGTCCGATGGTGTAGTGATAAGGGAGCAGATTGTTTGTTGGGTGGGGGGCAACCAACCATTTCCTAGAAATTTCAAGTCCAAAGATCTGTTGAAAAGTTGGCAGGAACCATGAGAGTGTTCACAGTCCTACGTGCAGGTTTTGCCATTCTTATCTTAACATCTGTCAAAGTTAAGTGAGGGGAAAAGGCTTTTCCAATAAGGCGTGCGCTCGAAATGCTATCTAGGCACGTGTAATAGTTGAAAATATGAAAGCATCGGCTTACTTGGTAAGATAAAATGCCATGTTGATTAAAGGCATTTAATCATTTTATTTTGCATTTTTATTGGAGCGCAACAAGTTCACAAATTTTAGTGGAGCGTTTCAATATATGTTTTTCGTAACAGACTCAATGTTCAATGGTCATCAAATTTTCACTTCTCACTTTTTAGAAGTTTATTACATTTAATGAGACATTTCTTGAGGAAATGTCACTATCTGGCTACACAGCCATGTTGGGTCAGATTCTACAGTTATTCAGACCAACTGCTGCAAGTTCACACATAGCTGCACATGATTGTAAAAGGGGAGAGAAGAGGCATGGACGATTGCCATTACTTTTATCACTTACTGGAGCAGAGTAGCCTCAACCTTAGTGTCCGGTGGCTAAAGGGAGCCACAGGAGATGCGCTTGGGCCAGTTCTAAATACAGCTCGCTTTGTAGTAATGTCACATGGTGCAAACATTGCCACCTCCCCTGAAGCCAGAAGCTCATGCAAGGAGTTTATTTTTAGCTCCACTGAGCTAAAACAGTCATGTAGGGCTGGTTCAATGGCTGAGAATGTCAACTAGGCATGGTCAGCCAATGAGGTGCCTTCTCCCTGCATCCGGTCGCTGAACTTCCGGATGCAGGGAGAGGCACCTAGCCAACTGCAGGCAAGTTGAAAAACTATTCCTGAACGATTTGCCATGTTACGCTAAGAGTGTCCAGGCACTTCTGGCACCTTTGCTACTACACACTGCAGTAGGTTTGGTTCTTGGATTGCCCCTTTAACGCATAGGATTTAAAGTGTATTTTAAGCTTGCTTTTGTGTACCTTCTTTTAATTAAAGATTTTATCTTCTTTTGTTTATTCATACTAATATATATCTTTTCATTTAGTCCCAGGTAGTCATTGCTCCACCTTTTGAAATTATGGTACATTACCTTTAAAAAGTATTAAACTCCATCATTCAGTTAAACAGATCGTTTGAGGCACCCTTTGACCAGTTTCCCTTTAAACCATATTTCCTTTGATACATCAGCTAGCATGCTGTTTGTGCTTGGCAGCTGTATGTTCCAGTTGCCAAGATGTGAAACAATCTGAGCATCTGTGTTATTGGCTAGCTTGATGACAAGCCCTTAGTGTTTCATGATTGGATCTGGCTGTAACATTACAGTCTCCAGCTGCATCATGAAACCCGAACTGCAAAAGCATGTGCAAACACCCTCTCTAGTGTAAAAAAAGAAAACAAATACATTTGTTCAATTCACTCCGGAAATTGATAGTGAAGCACCGATTAACTAAAAAAAATTCACATGGAACTGTCAAGCTTCTTGCTCGAATAAAATAAATAAATAAATAAATAAATGAAAAATAGAATATTAACAACAACCAAGAACTAGAAGAGTCAAGTACAGAAATCACACAAATGGATCTGACATTTTGGAAAAATGGAATAGATCAAATGTAGTTTATGGATTTAACCTTTATCAAAAAAATGGAAATATAGAACAAGATGCTGTATTTATGATCTAATCTTACAAATGTGATGTCGCAGTGTGTTCACAAACATTGTCGAGTTATCACAACAACACATGCATTAGAAAGCGCAGACTACAGGTAAAATATATCACACATATATACACTTGGTGAAAACAGTAAATAGAAGCCATAGTTTACCCTCCATGGATGGATTTCCAGTCCTCAGGACTATGGTCACTAGTAAGTGTAAATTTTGAGCTGTGATAATGGGATATGCCAAGCTTCGTGTATTGGTTATAGTTCCAGTGAGTTTCCTTGTGCCAGTTTTTTGTTGCCTTCTGTCACTTATAATAAAATAAATTTTAAAAATACAGCCATTTCAAAAAAAATTGCTGCATCATTAAAATCCACACAGACATTACAGGCCAGAGTAATTATACTCTGTGTGTGCATACTATACGACTTCAAACTACCACAGACAGGTTCAGTCACTGCTTATTAGGATTACAATTATCGGGGCTCAACATTTTCATTAGCTCTCCCACCATAGTGAAGTGAAAACTGAACTCCGAGGGGAGGGGAAGGGGGGATTCAGTGAGGGAGCCAATCAGCAGGAGAGGTAGTAGGGGCTCTGAATGCTCCAGGACTCAGCACATTACCACATATTGACACACAGTGCAGACATGGGTAACGTCACACACTGCATAAGCACCCAGGCAAGTGGTGAAGGCATTGTTCAAACAAACCTACAAAATGCACAAGAGCAAACATGCATTTTCATTATTGGTCTATAATGGCGAGGCAAGGAAATCAGCAATGCCCAGCTGTTTCTTCATTTGGGGCATGTGGAAAACAATAGCCTGTTTTGGAGAGAGCTCACCGTAGAACTAAAGCAGTCAAAATTTTCCTTTTCAATAAAGTAAGAAAAACAGATATGGTTTTTAAAGCACTGACAAATTCTGCAGCACTGTACAATGGGTGGACAAACCGACAAGTATTTGCAACAAGCCAAGTTGGACATACAGGAACAGAGGGTGTTTGGGGTTCTGCAAAAAAACAAGTTTACATTCAAGAGGTAGTGGGGTAAAGGTACACAAGAAGTAAGGGCAGGATGTATTTCGTGTATGGGAAAAAATTAGGTTACTAGAACACTTTACAATGAAGGCTTCTTTTTTTGGATGACAGTTGCAGGTGAGGAAGCAGGGTGCGCTGTGGGAAAGCAATTAACTGTTTAATTGATACGCTTTCCTGAAGAATTGAGTTTTCAATAAAATCTTGAAGGTATGGAGACTGGGTAAGAGTAGGAGCAGTTACACAGGAGTAGAGATGTCGCGAACTGTCCACCGAACTGTTCGCGAACTGTCCACCGGCGAACAATAGTGTGTTCGCGTTGGGCGAACATATCCGATTTCCGGTCCGCCCCCTATACGTCATCATTGAGTAAACTTTGACCCGGAACCTCACAGCCAGCAGACACATTCCACCCAATCAGCAGCAGACCCTCCCTCCCAGGAAGTGTCTGCTGACTGTGAGGTTCCGGGTCAAAGTTTACTCAATGATGACGTATAGGGGGCGGACCGGAAATCGGATATGTTCGCCCAACGCGAACACGCTATTGTTCGCCAGCGGACAGTTCGCGAACAGTTCGGCGGACAGTTCGCGACATCTCTACACAGGAACAGTGCAGCCCCAGATTACTCCTTAAGGTGAGCATCAGAGGCGAGGACACGGACAGAGGATATGTCCAACAATTTCAAAGTTTACCATACCATTCCTTTACATAATTTAGATAATTTTATATTTCAGAATACATTTTGTCAACACAGATATCTAATGTTTATGGCAATTACACACACCAACACAACTAAAAGATTTTTCCTTCACAGATTTCTTCAATGTAAAACCTCTGATGGGATGTGGACAGAATCAGAGGCCCCTATCCATTACCTATTAACTGTTACAAGTAGGTATCTGGCTAAAGAGTGGTTACAAGTAGGAAACACTTGGATCCAGGCTAGTCACCATTGCCCACATGGTCCCGATGTGAGCATCAATCGAAGCAGCCTTTACATGTCAACTTTAACGATTTCCAGGAGATTCTATCTACATGGTTCAATACATGAAACCACATCAGTTACAATGATTTAAAAAAAAAAAAAAAGAAGGTAATTCACAATTCCTGAAGCTTATCAGTCTTAGCACATGTCCTGAATCCAATAGCTGACTGCAAGTAGCATAGTGATAGAAAGGGGAAAAAAAATTGCATACCTACCAAAATTTTAAATAAACAAAGAGGGACATTTTAACCCCTTAAGGACTGAGCCAAATGTACACGTTGTGAACAAAGCAAAATGTAAACAAAACCTGGCATTTGCGCTACATGTCTGTCCAACCGTAATTCACCTCTTTCATATTAAATGCACCCACCCTTATTATATATCATTTTATTCAGGGGAAACAGGGCTTTCATTTAATATCAACTATTTAGCTATGAAACATAATTTAATATGAAAAAAATGAGAAAAAATAAATGTTATTTTTTTAGTTCTACATGACATTTTAACTGTCAATTTTATAATACTGTTTGCTTTTACTGCAATAAAATACACATATTTGTATTCAGCAAAGTCTCACATGTAAAACAGTAGCCCCTATGTACAGGTTTTATGGTGTTTTGGGAAGTTACAGGGTCAAATATAGCACGTTACATTTGAAATTGAAATTCGCCAGATTGGTTACGTTGCCTTTGAGACTGTATAGTAGCCCAGGAATGAAATTTACACCCATAATGGCATACCATTTGCAATAGTAGACAACCCAAGGTATTGCAAATGGGGTATGTCCAGTCTTTTTTAGTAGCCATTTGGTCACAAACACTGGCCAAAGTTAGCGTTAATATTTGTTTGTGTGTGAAAAATGCAAAAAACTAATTTGAACGCCAATTTTGGCCAGTGTTTGTGACTAAGTGGCTACTAAAAAAGATTGGACATACCCAATTTGCAATACCTTGGGTTGTCTACTATTGCAAATGGTATGCCATCATAGGGGTAATTTTCATTCTTGGGCTACCATAGGGTCTCAAAGGCAACGTAACCAAAGCCTTATATTTGACGCTGTAACTTTTGAAAACACCATAAAACCTGTACATAAGGGGTACTGTTGTACTCAGGAGACTTCACTGAACACAAATATTTGTGTTTCAAAACAGTAAAAAGTATCACAGCAATAATATCGTCCGTGTAAGTGCTGTTTGAGTGTGAACAATGCAAAAAATGTCACTTTTACTGGCGATATCATTGTTGTTATACATTTTACTGTTTTGAAACACTAATATTTGTGTTCAGCGAAGTCTCCCGAGTAAAACAGTACCCCCCATGTACAGATTTTATGGTGTCTTGGAAAGTTATAGGTTTAAATATAGTGCTAGCAAATTAAATTCCCTATACTTTTGGCGTGGGTTGTCAGGCAGGTCCTGCTAATTGTAATTAATTAAAATACCTAATTATGTAAAAATATTACATAAATATATATGTAGAATATATGTGTGTGTGTGTGTGTGTGTATATATATATATATATATATAATTTTTTTCAAATATTTTTATTTATATATAGGTATATAGTCATATATACGTATATATTTATGTATATAGATATATATATATATATTATTTCGTTCTACATGTATTTTGATATAAATATATATTAATATCACAATACAGTTAGAATGAAATAACACATCTATATATTTTTAATTATTTTTTAATTTTATTTTAACGTATTTACATATTTTTTATATTATATATAAATATAACAATAATTATATATTTAATCAGTATCAGTCTACATGTAATTTGATAATATATATAATTATATATATTAATAGTAAAATACACACTAATATATATATATATATATATATATATATATATATATATATATATATATATATATATATATATATATATATATATATATATATATATATATTTATATTAAGTATATAAAAAAAATTTTTTTGCACTGATATTTATTTTATTTAATTTGAATTCAGCCAGCAGGGGGACTAAGTAACAAAAACCGGAGGGCGTACTATTACGCCCTGCGGCGTTTAGAGCCGCTTAGAATAGGGCGTAATAGTACACCCTCCGGTTTTAAGGGGTTAATATTAGGTGTGTTTTTTCCCGCTCCCAGTGCATTGTTCACCTCCTCAGTGATTATCCAATCCAGAGCAGGTCGTAGAGGCACACTGGGGAACCAATGCACATGAATGGCAAGTGCGCATTCAAACTTCATATTTCATGCTGACAGCCACTATAGGTGGACTTAACCCTGCAATCTAAAATTGCCGTTTCTCAAAACACTACAATATTTTACATTGCAAGATTAAAAAAATTAAAAAATTAACCCCTTAAGGACACATGACATGTGTGACATGTCATGATTCCCTTTTATTTCAGAAGTTTGGTCCTTAAGGGGTTAAAGGGGGAAATGGACCATGCATGTAGATCATTTCAGTGAGATGAAACGGTGCCAAGGTACCAAAATAAACAAGCTTTTAAATACACTGCAATATCAGGAATCCTAATGGATACATGAAGTTACAACACACATTAGGCCTGAGGTTTCTGCAGCACAATGGTTAAAAAAAAATGGTTTTGGCATTAAAGTCAAAATAAATACAACATGAATGGATTTCCAGGTTCCATTTCAGAACTCTCTGCCTCTAGGGAGAATGCAAAACTCTGGGAACGTTCTACCCATCAACAGTTGTCTTACGTCCCCATAGAAACCGCTTGGAGCAAAGTCAGTTACTAGTAAGAACAGACGTCTTTGTTGCCTTGATTAAATGTTATCCAAATGAATAATACTATAAAAAAAAAAAAAAAAACACAAGCACACTGAAAATACAAACAGTTTCAATCTGATGTATACTTCAAAAGCAGTTCAGCTCTAAAGATTATAAAGTGGCTGTAGTTCCCAGGATCTCAGAGGCTGTGTACGTCATCATGTAGGTCTGTTAAACAACTCTGAAACAGCCTATAGATAACTGAAAAGAGTTTCCTGCCTTTTCTTATTAGGGCTTTTAAAAGCAGATAATGAAAACTTAGCTCTGCATACATTTCTAATTAAAAGCAGTTATAAAAATAAATACATGTTTAAAAACTGACAAAACAAAAACAGACACAAGAAAAGGCAACCCTCAGTTCTTTAAAATACAGTTTTATAAAGTAAAAACGGAGTAGAATAAATCTGCTAGAATCTCCATGAACACACGTGCTGGATGTTCTGCAATCTCCGTATTAATCCTTGCTTGTTGTCCTGACCCTCTGCTTTTCACTCGGAGAGCTTGCGTCAATACTATTGTGTTTCATGCATTGACCCAGGCTAAGCTCCTATTAAAACCATGCAGTCTGTCAATCAGGGTTGCCAGTTTCCACAGGGGATTTCAACTGCAGCTCATTTGTGTACCGGAAACCATGGTTTCCTGCAATTCACCTCAATGAAAGGTGCTGTCCCTCACACCCTTTCGTTTTCACATCCATCCTGTGCAAATGTCTCCATGGCAGTGAATTTTTCTGGAGAGGTCTGTTTGATTGCTGAACAAGACACATTCCATTCACTGGGATTGTAAAAGTCATTGTTGCCATGCTGGTAGCTATTTATATAGCCAATTTTGGAGCCAAATGACCGCAGACGTCAGATGGAGTGTTACTGGTGTATGCACCATTTAGAACTTTACTACTGGATTGCTTTTAATACAACTACACCAATATCTATTTTTAAAAGGATCACTCCAAGTACCATAACCACTATAGCAATCTCCTAATGTAAGTAGTCAAACTGTTTTAGAGTAGTCCAACTTCTTATCTAAGGTCCGCTTGCCATGGTTAACTGCATTCACTATAGCCTACAGTGAGCCCGAGCAAGCCCAGTGTAGCAGGGCTGAATTCACTGGCCAAGAGTGATCAGCTGACACACTCAGCCAATGATATAACCCTGCCTTGTGTTATACAGGTGGTCCTCTTTTTGCGAACTACCTGTTTTACGACAGCTTGCACTTACGACCAGCTCTCTCGCAGGGTGGTAAGTGAGGTGTCCTTTTAAAAAGAAAAAAGGAGGGATTCCCTGCTCTGGTGCGTTCGTCTATGTTCGGGGACACCCCCTCTCAAGGCTCCCCTATTAAAAATAAATAAATAAACAAAGCTAGATTTCTAACAAAGTGTTACTTTACCTTGAGAAAACATGAAAGTTTATAACAAAGTGAACCTTAACAGTAGAAAAGTAATTGCATTGAATGCTGCCATCACATGCAATTTGGAACTTTAACCAGCTGTCAACACTAAAGATTGAAAATAGTAAAGTAATTTCATGATTGACACCTCTGCACTGAACAATAGTCCGATGATGTGGCTAAGTTTAAACGTACATTTTTATGAGAGTACGATTTTACTGTAGTATGTATATCCATTGTTGTGGGCTTCAGGGATCTCAAACTCTAGATCCTACTGATGGCCTACACCTCTCCTGAATGCAACAGATGGCCAAAGACTCATGGGAGCTGTTCAGATACTTTTGAGGTGACAGAAATTGAGCTGCCTGGTTTATAGTACAAACACATCAGCATTGGAGCACATTGGGGAAATCATGAATCAGTAGTAAATAATGGCTAGTTTTGGAACAACCTATTCTAGTGTAAGAGCTCTCTGAAATGAATTCACAAGCAGCATTTTATTCATTAAGGGGGAGTGATAGTAATAAAAAACAAACAAAAAAAAAACCCACAACACACACCCCACATGCATGGCCTATTCTTGACAGACACATCACCGCCATTTGGGCAGGTGGAAATAACCCCCACATTACCTAACCCAATAAAACACTGACACAAATAGTATATGGATTAAATGTCCACAGCTTTTGATTTATACAAAGTTTTTTTTTTTAACATAACAAGGTCATTGTCCCCAGCCCCTGCATACAACATAACATATACCAATACATTATAAAACAGGCAATGACCAATATCTGTAAACATTAACAATAGTTAAAGGGACACTAGTCACAAAACAACTGTATCTTAAAGGACCACTATAGTGCCAGGAAAACATACTTGTTTTCCTGGCACTATAGTGCCCTGAGGGTGCCCCCACCCTCAGAGTCCCACTCAAGCCAGGCTCTGGAGAGAGGAAGGGGTTAAAATCTTAACTTTCTCCAGCACCAGGCAGGGAGCTTTCCTCCTCCTCTCCTCCTTCCTAGCGACGTCATTGGCTGAATGCGCATGCACGCGCATTCAGCCAGTTCATAGGAAAGCATTTACAATGCTTTCTTATGGACGCTGGCGTCTTCTCACTGTGATTTTCACAGTGAGAAGCACGCAAGCGCCTCTAGCGGCTGTCAATGAGACAGCCACTAGAGGCTTCAGAGGCTGGATTAACCCTCAGTGTAAACATAGCAGTTTCTCTGAAACTGCTATATTTACAGCAAAAAGGGTTAACCCTAGCTGGACCAGGCACCCAGACCACTTCATTAAGCTGAAGTTGTCTGGGTGCCTATAGTGGTCCTTTAACTAAGCAGTTTTGTTGTATAGATCATGTTTCTGCAGTTTCACTGTTCAATTCTCTGCCATTTACAAGTTGAATCACTTTGTTTATGCAGTCCAAGGTACACCTCCCTGTATGTGACTTTCACAGCCTTGCTAAAACACTTCCTGTAAAGAGTTATCTAATGTTTATACTTCCTTTATTGCAAATTAGGTTTCATTTAGAATGTTGTATCTCCTGCTCTCCCAATAGCTTGATAGACCCTGCAGGAGCCTCCTGTATGTTTTATAAAGTTCAATTTACAGAGCAGGAGACAAAAACGTTTAAATTAAGGTACTTTTGATTGAAAATGAAACAATTTTTTTCATGCAGACTCAGTCACAGCCAGAGGAGGTGTGACTATGGCTGCATAAACAAACAAAAGTGAATTAACTCCTAAATGGTACTGAATGGAGTAGTGAGACTTCAGAGGAATGATCTACACCACTGGTTCCCAAACTTTTTAGGTTCAAGGCACCCTTAATATTTCAATATTTTCCAAGGCACCCCAAGTCAAAAAAAATTCTAGGTTGTATACATGTACAGCACTGCGGCATATACTGGGCCCCTAATTTTGTGAGTGGCACTGGTAAGATTATTTTAAAAAACAATCCAGGCACAATAACCACATTACGTTGTAGTGGTTTAAGAACAGTTTGACAACTTGAGAGAGAGAGAGAGAGAGAGAGAGACCACCTTCCTAATCAGCTGAATAACCACTTTTTTTTTATTAATCAAACAAAGAGGCTTTTATCTCCATAACCTTCAGCTCACTAGCCCTGCCGTTGTGACAAAAACTGGGACTAAGTCATGCGATCAACTAAACAAAATGGGAGGAAGACACGCACAAATTCAGCAAGGTAAGCAGATTAAACTGATCAAATCTAAAATGGATACCTATTTAGTTTTAACCAACTCTCAATCACAGGAAACCTTGAACTTAGGCTCGACTCCTAGCTTTGTCAAGGCCCCTATCCACTAAGCTGTGCTTTGTTACATGGGGCTATATTCTTACCCATCCCTTTGCCTAGGTGTTATGCTCACCTACTGCCCTGTTAAATATACATTTAACAGCATACAAAAAAATAAAATCAATAGGCAAATTAAAAAAGAAAAAAAAGCGTTTAGTTTACAGGTACTATGGACCATACAATAACATTGGAGTCTTTAATATGTAGATGTGTGTCTTAAGCAAATAAACATCATGTACCAAGAATAGTTTGTTTATTTTTTTTAAATGATCCACTCATAATTATCTCTCTAGTACCAAACCCTTAATCTTAGAATGCTTCAGGTAAGCTACATATTGCGATCAAAAGTATAAAGAACCTCTAGGATTTAAGAAATTCCCAGTAAATTTCAAAACAAGCCTACAATCATAAGCATAGCATTTAAGGGTTACACCAAGCACCATGGCCACTTTAGTGATTTGACGTGATCATGGTGCATGAAGTCTATATGTGCAGCCTTTCACTTTGAAACACTGCATCATTAGAGATTAACCCCTTATCTAGTAACCTGAGTCCACCTCCGGTAGCATCATACAGTTTGGAACTAGAGATTCACACTGGCTAATGTAAATTCTGTGCACAGAATATCAGTCTTAAAAGGACACTATATTCACCAAAACAAGTACAGCTTATTGAATTTGTTCTGGTGAGTAGAATCATTACTTTCAGGCTTTTTGCAGTAAAAACTGTCTTTTCAGAGAAAATGCTGTGTTTACATTACAGCCTAGTGATAACTTCACTAGCCACTCCTCAGATAGCTGTTAGAGATCCTTCCTGGCTTATAGCTGCCTCAAATGCATCCAAACATTCAGTACCTCCTCCCTCTGCATGCAGACACTGAACGTTCCTCAGAGAAATTCATTGATTCAATTCATCTCTAGGAGGAGATGCTGATTGGCCAGGGCTGTGTTTTAATCATGCTGGCTCTGCCCCTGAACTGCCGTTTTGTCAGACTCAGCCAATCCTATGGGGAAGCACTGTGATTGGATTAGGCCACCACTTCTAATGATGTCAGCAGACTGCTTGTTTTTCTGAGTCTAACAGCAAGCAGAGTTACAGCTTCAGGCTTGAATACAGTAAGACTTTTACTATATTTATGGAGGCATGAGGGGCCCAGGGGGGCTAGATGGTGGTTTTAACACTATAGGGTCAGAAATACATGTTTGTGTTCCTTACCCTTTAGTGATCCTTTATGGTAAAACTCTCAGTCAATGAAGGTCAACTCTGCAGAAGCCAAAAGCATGTCACCAGACCAAAAAGGGAGTATTGGAGCCCAGTGGAGACCTAGGTAAAGGGGCAACTTGTTGCCAAAATGTTTTTCCCCTTACCAGGGTATGCCTGGCTTTAGTGGTCATGATATTTGTTGTTGTCCCTTCCCAAGATTTTGAATATTATTTTTATTTTTTCTTCCCGTTTAGCAATTATACAATTGTGAAATGTTAAAAATACAATTTTACATTCTGTAGTGCAAGCAGACATGTAAATGTATGTACACGTATGTGATGATCTCAGAAAATAGGAAATCATTGTGAGTCCATTGCATATGCGTGGAAAGATGCCACACTGCGCCAATCAGCATCACCTAAAAGATGCATAGAATCAATGCCTTTATGTGGAGTTTTCAGTATCTCCATGCAGAGACGCTGAATAAGAAGCACCTCTGGTGGCCATCTGAGTGACTGCCACTAGTGGTATTACTAAGCAGCAATGTAAATATGGTCTTTTCTCTGAAAAGCCTGCAGGGACAGGTTGTAGAAACCAGAACCACTACATAAAGATGATGTAGTGGTTCTGGCAAAGATAGTCCCCCTTTAAATGCAGCTTTCAACATATTTTTATCCAGCAAAGGGGTGCCTTCATCTAGGCTCCTTGTCAATCATTCTTTTATGTTCTGTACTTTGCACCAGAGTCAGCATACAGAAAGCACACAGAGTGAAGGAGAAGTTAAACAATGTGCATAATTCCGCACAGGTTTGGTGGTGTCCGGACTGAACCAGATTGTGAAGACATTTACTAAATCTTTAATATAAATTTAAAAATAAACTGTGCATTAAATAAAAAATATTAAGTTGCTGGCAATGTTCAATTGATTCAATTCAGTGATGTTTTTCCCTTAAATGAAAATACCATAACTACTACAGATCACTTTAAAGGCTATAGTGCCAGGAGTGACCCGACACTGAGTTGTTAATAGTCAAATCATTTTACTATGGTTTGACATCTTACCTGGAGTCCACCAAGCGCTTTTCCCAGTCTCCGCAGCCATAACCTTTCTAGGGGTGCAGGGCTTTGTTCATTAGCTTTAGAGCAATCAGCTGCCACTCAGCCAACGAACTAGCCCGGCACTGTGGGTATACTTGAAAACGAGAGAAATCTCGATGTATCTTTCCTGGTAAAATATTTTATAAATAAATAATTTGCTCAGGAGAGCTTATGGAACATAATACCACTGCAGAAAGACAAGGACAGGCGCCCAGTGACCCAAGGTAAGAAGTCAAAATTTTAGTGGAGAGTTTGATTAATTTCCGGGGGGAAGGAACCATAACCACTCCAGTGCACTGTAGTGGTTACAGTGCTTGGGGTGTTGCTTTAAGTCTAGACTTAAATACACTAATCCTCTAAAGTAAAAAGCCATCCATCATAAGGCCTATAGATCATCAACGAATATATGCCATGTGGACCTCCAGTGGAAGCAGGCACGAATGGTTAAAACAGTCATTAAAATAACGAGAAATTTATTTCCTTTAAAAACAAATTTGTAAAATAAAAATGTTTTCAGATGCCTTAAAATTGCTCTTAAAATTTGGTTTCTTTGAAGACAGAAATATCTTCAAACACTGGTTCCTTCCTTATATTAACGAGCTGGGGGTGTGTGTGTATTCAGTTAGCATAATTATGCAAGGAATGTGTTGACAGAGTTCAACACAGGGCAAAAGCCCTCCGCCTTCCTATGTGGTGCAATGCCAATAAAGAAGTGTCAACTTCACAAACATGGATTAAGTTTTATAAATAAAATACCAACATGTTGAAGTATCGTATGGTGCATAAATGAAATACAAATATTGTTCACAACAAGTTTGGTAAATGGAAGCAAGTGGTAACACAGATTCAGATTAAGCACTCCTGATATAAACTGCTTTTGTCACTTACATAGGCTCTTATTAAAAATAACACCCAAAGCTAACATCACTAATTTGTTTACAGTAAGTGACGCAGAGAGCTAAAGGTTGATATACTTACCTGAAGCTGTCCATCAATGTTTTTTCCCCCTCATTAGTACCAGGTGCTTCATCAACCAGGTTGCCTACATCACTGCTGTACTGTTGCGCAAGCATGAGTGTACAATACAGGCATCTATAGAGGACCACAACATACTCCACAGCCCAACTCTCGCCTTGTGTGAAAAGATGTCCACTGCCCATAACCATCCTTAGCGACAGCTTAGAGTTGACAGAAGTAACTTCACCTTTAGTCAGTTTTTGCCTACAAGACAGTCGCTAATTTGCCCTATAATATCTTAACTGAGCCGGTATTTCAATTCTCACAATTACACACCGTCACATACATAAAGACACGCTCACAGTAATTGAAACCCCGGTGTTTCAGCTTAAAATCCCTATAATTCATAGAAATTCTTTGCAGGACAAAGGCAGCAAAACATACGATTGCACTTTACAACAGTTCTCACAACACTGGGTGAAAGTTGGTTTAAAGGGGGGACTTAAACCATGCTAACTGCTACAACTCGTTATGGTGCAAGTAGGTTTGCCCCCAGCTATGCGAATCTATTTATGGCAGATTGGGAAACACAAGCCATTTGGGGTAGCCATGCATGGCGAGCAAACCTAGTGTCATATTTTAGATATATAGATGATCTGTTTTTTATTTGGGAAGGAACAGAAGATAATCTCATTGCTTTCATCAATAATTTAAATATCAATGATAGAGGTATCATCCTCACACACGAATATAGTAAGGAATCGATCAATTTTTTTAGATCTTAATATTTTTATTGATAAAGGCCAACTTCAAACAAAAACTTTTTTTTAAAAAGGTCTGTGTAAATACGGCAATTGACAAATCAAGCTGCCACTATAAGCCTTGGCTTGAGAGTGCCCCTAAGAGTCAGTTCCCACGACTCCGCAGAAATTGCTCAAAAATTACAGATTTTAATGAACAAGCGGAAATTTAAAAAAATAAATTTATTGAAAAAAAATTATTCTGAATCAGACCTAAATAATACAATCAATATAGTGCAACAAAAAGAACGTAAAGATCTTTTAACCTATAAAAATAAAGAACAAAACGAAGCAATATCTCTTCCTGTGATTTTTAATTTTAATAATAAAAGCAATGATGTAAAAAGAATTATAAAAAAAGCATTGGCATATACTCAAACATGAAGAGATACTTAACTCAATTCTACCAACCCACCCAAATATTGTATTCAGAGGAGCTCCTAGTTTTAAATCTATTCTCACCACTAATTTTACTAAAGAATCTCCGACTAAGAACTTCTTCTTTTTTTCCTCAGACAAAAGGTTTTTATAAATGTAAACAATGTATAGTGTGTAGAACTACAGATTCTTCAGTTTTATCTAAGGTTACCCAATTTAGGTCAAATATAACCAAAAAGGTATATAATATTTATGATTTTATTTGCTGCAATTCCAAGAATGTTGTTTATCTGCTCGAATGCCCATGTGGCCTCCAATATGTGGGGATGACCACAAGGTGCTTAAAGATAAGATTGAGCGAACATTGCAGAAATATAAAAAATGGATACCTAAATCATACAGTATCCAAACATTTTATTATGCATAATAAAGACCCAAATCTACTTAAATGTATTGGTATAAAAAAATGTTCTACCTCATGGCGTGGAGGAGATATAAAAAAGGTACTTGGAAAGACTGAAATGGAGTGGGTGTATAACCTTAAGACCCTTATACCCCATGGTCTAAATGCAGATTTCGACTTACATAATTTTTTATGAATATTTGTGTATATGCCTTTAATTTGTTTTAACTCTGCTATTTTATCAAATATTGTTAACATTTTTATTACTTATTGTTATTCTTATATTTTATTTTTATTGCCATTAGGTCTTTTTAAACTGTTCTTTTCTTAACTGTTTTATTTTAAAACTGTTTCATTCATTCTGATATACTTTTCCTATTAACAAGTATATCTCCTATTTGCCATTCTCAATATGGCTGATTTAGTACCTTCCCAAGATGGCCGAACCCCTTATACCTAATACCCACATTCCCCTCCTCATTTGGTCTCTCTGTCGCCATTTGCGGCCATGAACTACATATCCCATGCGGCCGTTCGGCACTTCCGGTATGCGGAAGTGCCGAAAATCACGTGACCGTTTTGAAACACGAATTTTTATACTTTCCCCCCCTCGTTTTTACTTCCAATTGATTCTAAATAGGTCAGGACACCTTAGAATGTTGTATAATATATTCATTTTAAAGTTTTGAGCCTGCCTATAAATTGTGAGTTTTGATTGGCTGCTCTAATTTTTGGCGCCAATATTCTAATTATTTGTGTCTTATATAACCCCTATGTGCCAGGTAGTAAATGTTATTCCATTTGATAAAGTCTTTTTTGACGAAACGCGTTATGGATATTTAATTGTGTATTATTATATTAAAAGTTAATTTGGTTATTTAATTGTGCCAATTATCTTTTTTATATCCTCTTTTTTATTTTATTGTTACCCTGGCTTTTTAATTATATTTATTTTATTTTATATAAATTTTATTATTTTAATACCATTCTTTTGGTTGCACCAACAAATTGGAAGATTCCAGCACCCCAAGAAATCCTAAATGGGGATCAATCCACTTACGCTGACATCATAGAGCAGCCCGCCTGCTCTCTATTTGTAAGTACGTTTTTATTTAATTTACACCATCATCGCTATACAGTGAGCACTATTGGTTGTCTCTTCTTCTCTTTGAGAATTGGTCACCCCTGACGGAGAGATATCCCACCATATATCCCATAAGCGGGGATTATACCGCTGTGTGCGCTTTACCTCAGAGCTGGATATAAGCTCTCGCAAATGTGAGTTTTCCATCTTTATCTCTTACTACGTCTTAATTTGAGTCTGACATACTGCACCATTTGTTGTCTGTCTTTTTTCTCTTCCATATAAAGAGGACCCACTATTGTATTCAAAGAATCAACCACCTTACCAGCCTTCCACTAGTCGTAAGGACACACTATCTGGACTTTTTTTATTTCTGTTTTTATTTTATTTTATTTTGGCTTTTATTTGTTTTTTACTTGGCGCAGCCCTTTTTACTGTTATTTTACTGTTATTTTTATTCATCTTGTTTTAAGGGTATCTTGAGGGATTCCCCTTTAAGGGTCGCTGCCTTAAGTTGATCAGCGCTGTCTCATCCATTTACCACTATCATCGTTATGGTGCAAGGCTTCTGTGCAGTCTGCAATTTTGTATTGGCAAAATATTTTCAAGCAATTCAACAAAAACCAAAGCCCTGGTGGATCCCAAAGAACTGTCCCTCTGCAGTGGGCAATGTTTTTGATTTGCACCTAATCCTTTCAAATTTGGACAGTAATAAGGTTGTGAGCGCTGAGCTCAGCCACTCCCAGTCATCATTTTTTTTAATCCATACATAACCGCTGGTATGTAACTATTACCATTCATATCCCTTATCTTATTTAGATGCTCTAATTAAACAACACCAAGTAAAATCTCTTTACACGTAGCCATACAGCCAACTTTACAATGATGTGATCATAGCATCGACATCACTGAATGGCTATAAAAATCAATGGGAACAAGTCTGTCAACACAACTTACATTGGCTTTCATTTAATACAGATGTTTTTTTTCTGTGCTGTGGAAGGTATTTGCAGTGAATTCATATAAATACAAAACAAGAAAGAAAAAAAATGGATTGCTTACTTTAAGCTTGTGTTTGTAATGTTCCACTACTAAACAATGCCTGTCTACTCTCAATTTATTAGTTCAAGGTGGAGGCAAACCATTTTAATGCAGTATTCATTGGCTAAAAAAAAAAAAAAAAAAAAAGGCTAAACTAGCTGAGCTAGAAGTTGAAGAGTGATACCCCAGGCAACCCACATGTTCCCTGTGCATGGGTGACATTATACCTGACGACATCCTTATGGACTCTGAACATACTTTGCCTAATAGCAGCCATTCATTAAAAACCTTCTTTCGCCAGACCTCCATGTGATCCTTGGTGATTTTTAGGATGCTGAATTCACACCTAGACCACAACCCCTATCATTCTTAGCTGCCCCATCGAAACAGATCTGACAGCTGAAGACACAAATCATGTTACAAATAAGTCAGCTTATAACAATATTTATTAACAGGTATGGACTATAAATACACAACTTTAAAAAGGCACTATTTATAAGATTTCTGTAGAAAGTCATCTAGTATAATGTTTTAGTTAGGAGCACATTCTCGCACACTGATATCAAAATGGTTAATCAAACTATTTTAGGTACTATGTGATACTGAACTCAATTTCCATACGAAATCAGATTACCATTTGATCTAGATACACTACTCCAACGCAGAGGGCGTCAGCAGATCTGTAAGATCACCGTACAAAACCAAATTACACGCTTTTTGGAAATGAAAAGGTTAAAAGAATATTGTTTTAGCCCCACATGCTGCAACAAGGATCACATCTAAAAAGGTTTAAGAAGACTCACAGTTCACAACTGTGCCAGGAAAAAGAAAAATGTATGGTATGTGTGTCAGCTTAGTGAAAAAAGGAGAAATTCCACTATCTATGAATTGGGTCAGTTGTACAGATTTTAGATGTGGAGGGGTTATTAATTCTGATCAGATTCATTCATCAAATAAACGTTGGACTTTTGGTTAGTAAAAGAACAAACATTTACTTTTCAATAAATATTAAGTTATACACCACATCTTTCTGTGAAATCCCCCCCCCTCCAGAACGAGTGATGCAATTGGCATCTGCATGAATTGTGAAAAGCCCCAAGCACTGAATAGGTCTAATGTCTTTATCAGGTTTTATGACCTCAGGCAAAATTCACACCCTGGACCTCAGGCACAAAAATTCCACATATTCTGGGCAATGAGTCAGTCAGTGTGCCGTGAAGGGGGGAAAAAGATTGTACTAAAAAACCCAAAAAAGGTTTAGAATACAGCAGAGAATATCCATATTATTATATTGAGAGTTCTTTATTAGGAACACAATTGGAACACGTTATAAACGTAAAGCAATCACCAAGGAAACTAGAAGAATGTTCCTGTTGACTCACTTAGTAATTTTATTATAAAATAATTTTAAAAAGCTCTAATTAATTCTAAATCTATTAGAGGATGAAGGATTAAAGATCTGTAATATTTAGGAGTAAGACAGTGCCATAATTTTATAGTATCCTCCGACCCCTATATTTCAAGTCACCAATTTTTAAAATACATGAACTATCATGACGTGCATGGCTGTATAAAGACAGGATCAGAGATACATTTTAATTACTAAACAAGTATAGCTAAGACAGTCACTGTTGGGTCACTACAGGAAATGTGGGGAACAAAATAATTAAAATAATTGCAGCTGGGCAAATCCTTGAACTAGGAAACATTTAACAGAGTCACAGAGGTTTGTTTAACCACTGGAAAAGATTCTGATCCTTCACCCCAAGTCAAACAGATGGCTCCTTTGTAAATTATTTAACTAAGCCTAGGCTTCTATAAGCAAACTTAACCAAAAGCTGTAGAAAAAGCTTAGTGCAGCAAACTAAAATATGATGTTTAACAGTATTACAGTCTGGAAGGGAATATACAGTTTGGCTGCTATACACAGATCATCATTTCATTAACACAATCTGTCTCCATCCCTGTCTATAATAACCTTCCACTCCACATGATAAGTTTAATTATGGGAAAAACCATCCAAGTTATCACTTAAGAGAAATACACTCTGGGCACAAAACCTGTATATCTTTAGAAAAATATCGACATAAAAAAGCATTTGCCCCATGATGGATGAGGGATTAAAAAGTTACAATCCACACATGATGATTACCGCAACTACAATCCTTTTTGTATCGATTTCTAATGGCTTGATAAAGCTAAACAATTGCCATAAAAATAAAAAAAATTTAAAAAAATGACTTTATATAAAATTATTCATCTATATTATAGGTCAGATAGAAAATACCCACATTCACCCAATGATCTACAAGGTAATGGAAGTTTATGGAAATGGTATTACTTTTTTATCCAGCCAACCTCTGAATACAGTATTTTTTTTATTATTATTAAAGTTTCTGAATACAGCATTTTTATCTCACCTACCCTCAGCTGCCATGGCATAGCCCTGCAGCAGGAATATAAAACACTGAAATGAGAAAAGAAGGCTGATTCACTCACGTGTTACTATCATTTTGCTCAATCCTCCCCAGTAAAACCATAAAGAAGAAAGATGTTTCAAACAAGATCCTCACTGGTATCCATATAATCCAGAGGAGAGGGCTCTACTCAGATGACAGGGCTCCTCAATCCCTTTGTTTCAGAGCAGCTTTCATTCATTAGCAGCGTCTGCTCCCCTTCATACTGAACATCTGTGTCTCCGGCAGACCCTATGACAGCAGCTCCACTCCAGCGCAGCATTCAACACACTGAACTCTAGCTGAACACTGCTGGGACAAAACTCTAGCGTGGGCGGTACCAAGTGCACAGAGAAAGGAGGGGAGGTCTGTTCAACAAAACCCCTGTGCTCTATCACATGCCTGTCTGAAACGACTTTATAAAGAGGCATACACAATGTACAAAATAATTAGGTGGTTACAATTTGAGAAAACAATAAGTATCGTGGTTCTTCCTGTTAAGTACAATGATTATAAAGTCTTAACTCCCCCCCATGAGGTAATAGTCTAGCCCAAAAATATCATGGATTAATAGGGACCCAAGTTGGTAATGATAAGGCTGTTCTCTAGTTTAATGATAGCACCTGACACTATGGGGCTCTGTTTATTCTGCTTTACACAAAAGAAATGATCAAACAGCAACTGATAAGGTCAGAGAATAGAGAACAGCTTTAGAGAGAGAAAAAAAAAAGGCCTTTAATTATTTTATAGCCCACTGATTGGAAATACTATTATCTATTACTAGTGTGTTTGTATGAATAATTCAGGCGTGTTCCACAGTTCCTATCTGCAATATTTAATTAGCATAGATAAAGATTGAAATGAACAGTTTCTATCTGTGACTATACGGATTGCTGGGGTGTGCTCCCCTGTGACAGATAGTTCAATAAAAGCATCAAATTCATGCAAACCATTAAGGATCATTGAAGGATACACAGGGCTTACTCTAATCTAAACTGCACTTTTTGTACAGTGAATATAAAGCCCCATAAATACTATTAAAAGGGAACAATCACTTGACATGGAATCTACACCATTGAATAAAACACTGAAAAAAATCATTTATAGCTTGTGTACACTTTCTTTGAGAAATGCTGCTCCATTTGTTTTCAAATGTATAAGAAAATTGTAGCGCATGACATCATTGTCCATTTCAGACAAGGCAAACATTGAAAAATGAGTAGGAGATATAGTAACATATCCCCCTTCTCTGCATGTTTTCTCTATGTTAAATGCCACGTGCAAAGAACAGTTTACAACAAGAATGGGCACAGAACTAATGTGGGGATGCTCAGTGATAGGACAAAGGATTATTGATTTCTGATTTTCATTTTATTTTTCACACTTCACAAATAAATATGTATTAAATTAAGGGACAAGTAAACGTGTTAGAAGTCATGGGAAGAGACAGACTCCCTTTAACTCAGCAGGCATCCTATACTCTGGTCCTTCAGCAGCCAAAGGTAGATCTACAGCGTGTTTAATTGCACTTCCTTAGGGTTGGCACAATATCACTTGTAGCTCGCCAACAGCTGGAGGTATTCCAGAGGCGTTCCTCGGTTACATGGCACCTGGGGCGGAATTGTATACTGGCACCCATGAACAGTAGGATTATTTTTGTGTTTCACCAACCCCCTTTAGTTAGGTTAATTACACACACTCACAATCATATATAGACATGTATATAGATATTTATATTCTTACATACTTACATTCATATACACATACACACGGACTCATACACAAACACACATTCATATATGCACGCAGACTCATATGAACAAACCCACATTCATCTACACACACATACTAATATACACACACAAATTCATAAGCATACACACTTTAACATCTATTTATACACAAACAGTTTCAAAGTCACACATATTCATATACATACACAAACTGAAGAACTCACACACACACACAGTCATACACACACAGACTCATATACACATTTATACACACCCACACACAGAATTTTTAATTTATTTAATTTTTTTTTTATTGTATGGGTTTGACAATGAGGTCCACCCAGCCTCCTTTTTCTTATCTTAAAATGGTGAGCTGGAGTAGGACCTCATCCAGGGGTTTGCTGTTGAGATCAGTCTCTGTACCAATTATCCAGTTCCCTTCTGCTCTGTACTGATGCCAAGGTTGAGGTGACATCACATCCTAGCTCCAGCATCAGCACAAGTGAGCTGAAAAAACAGTTCGAAGACCTGCCCTCTCGGCTCCCACTCCTTAGCCATGCACAAGAGCCGCAGAGCAGGTACGTGCCACACAGCACTCCCACCAGCAATGCACCAGTTGGCAGGTGACTGCCACTCCCTGTTAGTACACTTCTTGGATCTACCATTAACTTTCCAAGCATCTGGACAATTGTAACACAGAATAGTCACTGTCAGAGCAAAGGTGCTATTAATACTATATATACTATTCTGTGCTGTCATGGCTTTAGGAATAATGGAAAGGTGACCCTACACTACTCATGTTTGTGGAAACACGTACAAGGACCAACAAGTTCATCACTGTATCGTTTGTACCCTAAACACAAAGTTGTGGTAAATTGAAAACAGAATTTGCAAAATTTAGGTCAGAAAAGCCTACTTGAGAATACATGGGTTTTTTTCAACAATTTGTAAAGTTTCGTTTTCAATATATGTTGTAAACATACCCCTCCAGCTGGCATTTCAGGATTTGTTGGTGAAAATTAGAGGATTGTCATGTAATAAAAGGAATACTCTAGGCACCATAACTACTTCAACACACTGTTTGTGGTGCTAGGAGTCCCTAGGCACTATTTACTGGTAATATGCCGAACCATTTTTAAATGGCTCGACACTTACCTGGCAATAGCAGGTGTCTGTGGAGCTTTCGTTACGGAATGATATGAAAAATTGGAAATTCATACATCTGCATTATAATACCAATTGAGGACCACCACCAGGAGGGTACTTTCCAGTATGTGGGTGAAAAAAGTCCTTTCTCCCAGGTGCCCCTTTGCTATGCAGCCAGGCCTAGTAACTCTTTTCTGTATAGATTTGCTTATGAAATTAACCTAATCATTAAAAGTTTTGCATATAGAGAACTAGCAATAAAACTTCAAAATCACACCAGATGCTTTGATGTGGTATCTTTCTCTGCATAAACTATTAATGATTTATCCAGAAATAATCAGCCCACCACACGCCAGACACAATGCAGATAAACATGTATTCTTTTCATAGCATCAAAGTTGTGTAACAACACAGAGCCCTATCATGCTTTACTTCATTCATCTTTAAGAAGCCATTTATCAATTTCCATCAAGTCTAAAATACCAGGATGACACCCTAACTGCAAATGATGTTGACTTCTGACAGAGAGAAAGGGTCTGCAAGTGCAATGATAATGTCTGATGATAATGATATTATCTGCAAACTAGTTACTGTAAGCTGACTTCCTAAGAGCACAGGGCAGAACGATCCAGCTGTGTCCAGTCCAGGGGCAGTTGCTATCTTCTATCTTGTCTTGAGGCACAGACAGATAAGGAGATTGAGTTGTCTGTGGTAATGACAAAAAGTGTTTCTTCCAAATCCAGAGTCTACAAATTAGCCACAGAGTGCTTTCAAGTTACAAGATGTTCATTTTGTCTCCATTAAAAACATGTCTCTGGCTCTCAGTGTGACGTGTATACATAGGCGTGCGCAGCCTGTTGTATAAGGGTGTGCACCCTAAAGCAGAAACACACACGCCGCGTATATATATATATATATATATATATATACACATAAATACACACACACAATGCTGTGTGTGAGGGTGCTGTGTGTAGGTGCTGTGTGTGTGTGTGTGTGTTTGTGTAGGTGCTGTGTGTGAAGGCGCTGTGTGTGTGTGCGGGCGCTGTGTGTGTGGGCACTGTGTGTGTGTGAAGGTGCTGTGTGTGTGAAGGTGCTGTGTGTAAGGGTGCTGTTAGTGTGTGCTGTGTGTGTATGTGTAAGGGTGTTGTTAGTGTGTGTGTGTGAGGGTCCTGTGTGTGTACGGGTGCTGTTAGTGTGTGCTTTGTGTGTGTGGGTGAGGGTGCTGTGTGTGTAAGGGTGCGGGTAGTGTGTGCTGTGTGTGTGTGAAGGTGCTGTGTGTAAGGGCGCTGTTAGTGTGTGTGTGTGTGGGTGCTGTTAGTGTGTGCTGTGTGAGGGTGCTGTGTGTGTAAGGGTGTTGTTAGTGTGAGGGTGTTGTTAGTGTGTGCTTTGTGTGTGTAAGGATGCTGTTAGTGTGTAAGGGTGCTGTGTGATTAAGGGTGCTGTGTGTGTAAGGGTGCTGTTAGTGTGTGTGTGTATGTGTGTGTTGTGTGTGTAAGGGTGTTGTTAGTGTGAGGGTGCTGTGTGTGTAAGGGTGTTAGTGTGAGGGTGCTGTTAGTGTGTGTGTGTGCTGTGTGTGTAAGGGTGATGTTTGTGTGTAATGTGTGGGGGCCGTTTAGTTAATAACCTTAGGTAGGGAGGGGGGACTGTGCTGCTGCCATCCCTGGTGGTCCAGTTGAGAGTGAACTCTAGCCCCTTGTGGCAACGCTCTGACCGCACGAGAAGAACCCGGTGGAGCTGCTGACAAGAGCACCCCGGGTCCTCTCCTGCTTCCCTTCCTTGCTTGTGGTTAGGTGAGGGAGATCTTTGATCTCCCTCTCCGGCCCTCAGAGGGAGGCACATAGCGCGTGCCGCGGGGATTAGGGTGTGCCTAGGCACACCCCGTGCGCACGCCTATGCGTGTATAGCGCGCCGGATGCAGCAGAGTAATAGTGGATCTTGCCGGGAGCATTGTACTGGGGGTTCTTGCTGAAACAACGGAAAGGGGACTCAAACTAACCATGATCACGTCAGCGGCTGGAATCCTTTCCCTTCTGGATAAAGATGAGCCTCAGCTTAAGGAATTTGCACTGCACAAACTGAATGCTGTAGTCAATGATTTCTGGGCAGAGATTTCTGAATCGGTGGATAAAATTGAAGTCCTCTATGAAGATGAGAGTTTCAGGAGTAGACAGTTTGCGGCACTTGTGACTTCCAAGGTGTTTTACCATCTGGGGGCATTTGAAGAGTCACTGAACTATGCTCTGGGTGCTGGAGATGTGTTTAATGTCAATGGCAACTCCGAATATGTGAAGACAATTATAACCAAGTGTATTGACCATTACACCAAGCAATGTGTAGAAAATGCAGAACTTCCTGAAGGTGAGAAGAAGCCAGTGGATGAGCGCCTAGAAGGGATTGTGAACAAGATGTCCCAACGCTGTTCAGATGATCACAAATACAAACAAGCCATCGGTATGGCACTTGAGACACGGCGGCTGGATATTTTCCAGAAAACTGTATTGGAATCGAATGATGTCCCTGGCATGTTGGCCTACAGTCTGAAGGTCTGCATGTCCTTAATGCAGAACAAGCAGTTTAAGAATTGAGTCCTTAGAGTTTTGGTTAAAATCTATATGAACTTGGAAAAACCAGACTTCATCAATGTCTGCCAGTGCTTGATATTCTTGGATGACCCCCAAGTTTTGAGTGATATTCTCGAGAAATTGGTGAAAGAAGATAACCTACTCATGGCTTATCAAATTTGCTCTGACCTGTATGAGAGTGCAAGCCAGCAATTTCTGTCCTCCGTCTTACAGAACCTACGCACTGTTGGAGCTCCCATTCCATCCATTCCAGGTTCTACTAACACAGGAACCGTGCCAGCAGCCTCAAAAGACAGTGAAGAGATGGAATCTGGGGACAAGTCTGGGAGTCCAGTAGTTAGCAAATCTGAAGTGAACCCAGAGCCTAAAGATCAAATCTCCAAGATGATAACAATTCTCAGTGGGGAGATGACCATAGAATTGCATTTACAGTTTTTGATACGGAATAATAATACAGACTTGATGATTCTAAAGAACACTAACGATGCAGTAAGGAATTCAGTTTGTCATACAGCTACAGTTATAGCAAATTCTTTCATGCACTGTGGCACCACAAGTGACCAGTTTCTAAGAGATAATTTGGAGTGGTTGGCTAGGGCCACAAACTGGGCAAAGTTCACAGCAACAGCAAGCTTAGGAGTTATTCACAAGGGACATGAGAAGGAGGCACTCCAGCTCATGGCAACTTACCTTCCTAAGGACACATCACCGGGCTCAGCATACCAAGAAGGGGGAGGCCTCTATGCTTTGGGGCTGATTCATGCTAACCATGGTGGCGACATCATAGACTACTTGCTCAACCAGCTGAAAAATGCTATCAATGATATTGTGCGTCATGGTGGTTGCTTAGGACTTGGTTTAGCTGCCATGGGCACCACACACCAGGATGTTTATGACCTTTTGAAAACAAATCTCTATCAGGATGACGCAGTCACTGGTGAGGCTGCTGGTTTGGCTCTTGGCTTAGTAATGCTTGGCTCTAAGAATGCGCAAGCCATTGAAGACATGGTGGGATTCGCTCAAGAAACACAGCATGAAAAGATTCTGCGAGGTTTGGCAGTGGGCATTGCTCTGGTCATGTATGGTCACATGGAAGAGGCAGATGCGTTGATTGAAAGTCTCTGCAGGGATAAGGATCCAATCCTGTGCCGTTCTGGCATGTACACTGTAGCGATGGCATATTGTGGTTCTGGTAACAACAAGGCCATTAGGCGCCTACTGCACGTGGCTGTTAGTGATGTGAATGATGATGTCAGAAGGGCAGCTGTGGAGTCCCTTGGCTTCATTTTATTCAGGACACCAGAACAATGCCCAAGTGTTGTGTCACTGTTGTCTGAGAGCTATAATCCTCATGTATGATATGGTGCTGCCATGGCCTTGGGGATCTGCTGATCTGGAACAGGAAACAAGGAAGCCATTAACCTCCTGGAGCCCATGACCAATGATCCTGTGAATTACGTGCGCCAAGGAGCATTAATTTCCTCTGCATTGATAATGATTCAGCAAACTGAAATCACCTGCCCCAAGGTTAGCCAGTTCCGTCAACTCTACTCCAAGGTGATTAATGACAAACATGATGATGTGATGGCAAGGTTCAGTGCCATCCTGGCCCAGGGAGTTCTTGATGCTGGAGGTCACAATGTTACCATTTCACTGCAGTCAGGTACTGGTCACACTCACATGCCTTCTGTGGTTGGGGTCCTGGTCTTCACGCAGTTCTGGTTCGGTTTCCTCTCTCACACTGTTTCTTGCTTTTACTCCAACCGGTGTTATTGGACTTAACAAGAATCTTAAGATGCCAAAAGTCCAGTATCGATCGAACTGTAAACCATCAACATTTGCTTATCCTGCTCCATTATAAGTGACCAAGGAAAAAGAGAAGGAAATGGTCTCCACTGCCGTCCTGTCTATCACAGCCAAAGCCAAGAAGAAGGAGAAAGAGAAGGAGAAGAAAGAGGAGGAAAAGATTGATGAGTTGATGAGACTGAGAAAAAGGAGGAGAAAAAGAAAGAGCCTGAGCCAAACTTCCAACTTCTAGAGAACCCAGCCCGTGTAAAGCCAGCTCAGCTCAAAGTACTCAGCATGCCTGAAGGCACTAGATACCAGCCTTTCAAACTTCTATCTATTGGTGGAATTATCATTCTCCAAGACACCAGCGAGGAAGAGGAGCAACTGGTGGAACCTGTTGCTGCTCATGGGCCAAAGATTGAGGAGGAAGAGCAAGAACCAGAACCCCCTGAGCCTTTTGAATATATTGATGACTAGAACTATTGCCAGCATTCGAATGTCTGACATCTTTGTGTGCTCACTTCCACACAAGCATCATTAGAGCTGCATATTGAACGTTTACCACCACTGTACTGCTTCATCACATGCCCCGGATACTGTGTGACTGATCGAAATGATCTGTTTTCAAATAAAATTCTGTAAAAAACAAAACAAAAAAAACATGTCTCTGCTTTTCCCTTATGGCATCCCCGCTGGATTCTCCATAGAGTGCTAGCACTTGCTCAGTTGGAACGATGACACTTACTGAGTCATGCACAGAGATTGTACTGTATCAAGGAGTGGCTAAGATGAAGGTAAATGGAGCTTTGTATAAAGAGCATTTGTGTGGAAAAGTTCTAAAAGTTTGTTAATTACAATGTAAACCAATGGGATGACCCTGACATTTCGCAATTTTATAGAACTATACTAAATAAATGGGCTTTATAGATAACTCAGATCACAGGAGGGCCACCAGTTATCGGCGGAAACAATTCCAATAAAGTGTCTCGTTTTTAAATCACTCATACTATGCAGGAGTGTTGGCAGATATGCAATCCTAGCAAATATTAAAAAAAAGTCAAGGGAGTCCTAACAATGGGTGGGGGAAGCAATTGTCCCATAGGCAACTAACTTACAAGACTTGTAGGTTACAGCCTCGCACTGACATTCGTCTGCTGATTAAAAGCCACACAAGGTACATTACGATGCCTTTCAGCAACGTATTGAAGAAGTCAGGTAGCACTAGCAGGCAGAGGTAGCCCAGCACTGTGTGGGTTTGTGCTTTATCTGGTGGTGGTGCAATTTCAACTTTTTTCCAGGCTTGGACTGTCCACAATGATATTTTTTGAGAGACTGTACCTGGAGTCGGCTTGGTTGCCAGACTAAGGTGAGTATGCATCTACGGACTCCATGGAGTCAGTGGTGGCACCAGACTTTTCAAGGCCTTAGGCGAAACTCAAACATATGGCCCCCATTAATACACATAATGGAAAAATAGGGGTTGCATTGTTTGTGTATAAGGAGCTGTACTTATTTTGAAGGACAGGGCTTGGCTTTCACTGCCGGATACAGAGAGTTAGTCTCTATATCCAACGTTCAAAGGCCTCTGACTGTAGTTATGGCAGAATTTAAAAATTAAATCAATTTGCAATTATGCTAATTATTTATATAATTACAGGTATGGTTGCATAGCCAGGAAAAGATGCTGTTGCAGACCACGTACAAAACTTTATGGCAATGGTGTTCCCTGATGGCAGTGACCCCTTTCAACAGGATAAAGCACCCTGCCACACTGCAAAAAATGTTCAGGAATGGTTTGGGGAACATGACAGAGTTAAAGGTGTTGCCTTCAAATTCCACAAAGCTCAAGGCAAGGAGAAGGGAGTGTGACAGGATTAAAGAGGGGTTAGACAGGGTAAGTGTGGCAGGGTGAGAGGGGTGAGTATGAACGGATTGGGAGCGAGTGTGACAGGAGTAGAGGCATTAATGTGATAAGGTGAGTGTGTTAGGGCTGGGGAGAACGTGACAGGGTTGGGGTCAGTGTGGCAAAGTTCGATTAGAGAGTTTAACAAAGCAAGGGGAGGTGAGTGTGACAGGATTAAAGGGGGGTTAATATGACAGTGTGAGTGTGGCAGGGTTGGGGTCCGTGTGGCAAAGTTCAATTAGAGAGTGTAACAGAGCAAGGGGAGGTGAGTGTGACAGGATTAAAGGGGTTGTTAATGTGACAGTGTGAGTGTGGCAGGGTTGGGTTGAATGTGGCACAGTTAAAGGAGTGAGTGTGTCAGGATTATAGGGGGTAAATGTGACAGGGTGAGTGTGGCAGGGTTGGGTTGAATGTGGCACAGTTGAAGGAGGGTGTGTGACAGGGCGAGGGGAGGGGAGTATGACAGGATTAGGGTGGTTTATGTGAGATCTAACAATCTTTTGTCTCCACAGACCAAAGGTTGTCAGCCATCCCGAAACATATATTTGCAGTTCTGTTAATGTACGTGAAGACACAAAAGGGGAGATTTATCAAAGTAGTCTGAAAAATTAGTTTCAGAAAATGTTGTTACAGCCTCTCGATTTATTACAGTGTTCTGAAAATTATCTAAAAGGTTTTGGCAGAAACAAATGGGGAAAACAAATATTGTACATTCAAAAATGACACTTAAAGTGTGAACAAAGCAACATACGAAAAATCCAGGCAGATTATATAAATTGTGACGGAAACGCAAAAAAAAAGATGGAAAACTCCCCATTACATAGACATTATGATTATATAATATACACATGCCCTCAAAACCAGCTTCTAGGTCTGTCACAGAGTCATATTTCTTTAAAGGAACACTCTGGACACCATAATAACACCATCAAAATCACGTTATGATTCCAGGAGGTCCCTGACGATGGCTTACTTTTAGGGGTTAAAACGTTCTCGAACAGTTTAATCCCAAAGTCTGTGTTCCAGTGCCAGATCTCTCTGCCCTGGCGTTTTCTCAAAATCTGAATAAATACCTTATTCAAGCAAATTTTATGAATAGGGGGTCACATATTGGCTGAGAGCATCAGCTTACCGCTCTCAGCCAAGCGGCTCTGCTGCTGACCAATGCTGCAATGGCTTTCTAGTTTCCCGATTTTGAGAAAATGGAAGACAGAGGGTCATAGAGATGCAGCACTGGAACACAAATTTTGGTGTTAAACTGTTTGAGAACAGTTTAAGGTGAGTCAGAGCCAGGTACCTCTAGGCACCATAACAACTTAATTTCCATTTCGATAAAGTTGTTATGGTGTCTAAACTGGTCCTTTAAGATATGAGCTTGCTGATATATCCTAGGGGGCATTATTTCAATGTTATTTCCTTCGTTCACAAAACTCTTCTTTTGTTTTGCTGCAAGTTATGGCAGCCACAGCATACTATTTTCAGTATTCTATTTTCTATCTAACTCTTTCTATCACATATATAAGGGTGGCCACCCTCGCTGTCAGTTGTTCCCATCTCAGTCCTCAGGCATTCTAACAGTTGAGCATTTAGGAATTTCCGAATTCTGTTCAGAATACTGCAAAACCTGAATAATTGGTGTACCTTGAGGGCTGACTTTGGAACCATTGCTCTTAATTGCAACCACATCATGTGCTATATAAAACAAAGTCTGTACATTAAAGCATGAACGGACTGAAAATTAGTACTTACTTTTCTTAATTTCACACTTTTTAGATTTTATTCATTATATTAAATTATGTTACATATGTAAATATTTGATGTGAAATTAAAGACCTATTTCTCCTGAACAAAATGATCTATAATAAGTGTGGATGCCTTTAAAATGAAAGATGTAAGTTATGGTTGAACACACATATAGCGCAAATTCCAGTTTTTTGTTTTTGTTTGGTTAGAACTTGTACAATCACCTCTGTCCTTAAGGGGTTAAAAAGTTCTGAGCGAGCACATACAGGTTACTGAGGACTCGTAGTATGTGTAATGTGTACATGTCACACACACCATACACAAATTGAACAGCTAAGCAGCTAAGTGGAAGCACTCTGCTCTAATCAGCATAATGACAAGTTCAGTTAGACAAGGAGAGTGCTCTCCTTCCACCATAGGTAATTAGGTGTTTGGAGTACCTTTTAATCATACTGTGTACATTACAACTAAACACCTGTGGCCAATGCCATAGATAAACACAGATGGAAAACATGGGGAAACCTATGGAGATGACCCTTCTCTACCACTTCTGTCTGTTTTCCCCTTGTCTAACTACCACGCCCCATTAGTTTGATGACTTGTATCAAATAGGCGCATGTCTTGTGCTACAGCGGGGAGATGTGACGATGATGTCATAAGCCTGCACACTCCCATCATTTATGGCACTATATAGACAATGTTGTGTGCAGGGCTTGCAACCTCCCTCCCCCTACTACCACCTTGATTTCCAGCCTATGGGCCTCTATGGGATTTTTTTTAATTGGCTACTTGGACCATGTTTCACCATGGCATGGAGGGAATTTCCCTGCCTCTGGCAATTCCTCCCCTGTAGTGATCTGAATAGCCAATTAGTTTAAATAAGGCAATCGGCTGCCTTTCTAAGAAATATATATATAATAGTTGGAAAAAAGTGAAGCCATAATTATATTTATTAATGGCATTTATATAGTGCCAAAATATTCTGCAGCACTTTACAGTTATAAAATGTGGATATCTGACAAGTAATTCACATACAGAATATAACAGAGGTAAGAGGTGAAAAAGACCCTACTCAAACGAGCTAACAATAAATGAGACTAGACACAAGAGGAGGGAAGGAGGGATCAATGGATAAGATTCCTGTGTCGAAATGAGACAGTAAATATGGCGTGTGGAAGGATTGAAGGATAGAGTAAGCTGGCCTATGGAAACGAGGGGACTATAATTGCAATGAAAGCAGTGTTACCTATGAAGATATCAGGATGCTCTAAGGTGTGTTTTCAGTGACATCGACATCCAGTCAGTGATGGAAGAGAGGCATTTGCATGTAAACAGAAGTATATACTCTTTCTATAAAAGACAACCTTTAAGTGGAATACCGTAATTAAAATTGATTGGGCTTAATCCCAGACAACTCTTATTATGATCATTAACCATTCTGCGTTTTAATTAGCGTCCTGTGGTTTTCAAATTTAGAATCAAACACTACTGTGTTTATTTATATAGCCTGTGCATATTCCTTTCATGTTTTATAAAGAAAAATAAACACTCTAGAGAAATTCTCACCGAAGACATTCAAATTATTCACTATAGCAAGAATTTATAGTGAATTTCAAATTTAAAGTCAACATTGCTGTACCTGAAAAATCTATAGGTCAACTATGCTTTCAATTTGGATACTCTGGCCTATTGTCACTTTAGGAAATCAGGCTGGCGCTATGTTCAGCGCATTAGGACCCAGCAGCGAGCAATGAAATAGTGCTCCCTGCACGGTCTGCCCTTAGCCTGCATGATTGGCTAGCAGTCTTGCGTGCATTCACGCCGGGCTGGC